ACAAGATTATGGGCCAGACGACCCCCTAGTACATTTGCACTATGTATGAAGTTTTCCGCCGTCTAGACAAAACTTCAAGTTTAAACTCCATCAATTCTCATTGTTGTAAGGTCACTTCATCTACCTTGATTACATCCTCCTAAGGTAAATTCATGGGAAAAAATCCAAATCTGATGGTCAGAAATTAATATACAATACAAATTTTTCTTCTCTGCATCATGGTGGTTTTTGGGCATCTCTTTTTTGCTAATTTCTACTTTAACCATTGGAAAAATTTCTTATATTCTCCACTCTGGTCACTCTCAAGAAGCTCCTTTGCCCTTTTAATCTCCTCTGGCCATATAATGATATCCCTGCTGAGTCTATGGTACAGACAAGGAACTGACTTATGCCCACTGCTCTCACTGGCGTCTGTATCTGTTTCATATTTAAAAGCCATTCTACAGGAGACCTTGGTCAACTCAGCCAGGAGATCAATTGTTCTTGGATTCATCCCCAAAGATTTCTTCAGCTGAGCTTCCCGGTTTTTGATTAGCCACCCTCCTTGATTGGCTCTGTTGTAAGCCTCCTTTCCTGAAAAATAGTCTATAACACGTAAACATTGCTTTGGAATGTAATGCATTACAGTTTTCACCAATGAAGTCAACGCTTGAAACAGCAACAACGCTAATAACTTCGACACCGAACAAAAGGCCCATGGGCCACATCGCTCACCTGAGAAGCTTTGACCATGCTGTTCTTTCCTCGATTTCCCATTGTAATACATATTGTGACCCCACCCTACCCCAGGGGTCATGATTTGAATAATTTGAAACCTACACAAACCAAAGATGCTTCCACATAAGTTTCAGCTTTTCTGGCCCAGTGGTTCTTGAGAAAAATATTTTTAAAGATTTTTCCTACATATTTCTATGTAAAAATTTGATTTCCAATTGTGGCCCCGCTCTACCCCCGGGGGTCATGATTTAAACAATTTAGAATCTACACTACCCCAGGATGCTTCCAAATAAGTTTCAGCTTTTCTGGCCCAGTGGTTCTTGAGAGAAAGATTTTTAAAGATTGTTCCAATATATTTCTATGTAAAACTTAGATTTCCCATTGTGGCCCCGCCCTACCCCCTGGGGACATTATTTGAACAATTTAGAATCTACACTACCCCAGGATGCTTCCACATAAGTTTCAGCTTTTCTGGCCCAGTGATTCTTGAGAAGATTTTTAAGATTTTTCCTACATATTTCTATGTAAAACTTTGAATCCCCATTGTGGCCTTGCCCTACCCCCGTGGGTCATGATTTAAACAATGTAGAATCTACATTACCCCAGGATGCTTCCACATAAGTTTCAGCTTTTCTGGCCCAGTGATTCTTGAGAAGATTTTTAAGATTTTTCCTACATATTTCTATGTAAAACTTTGATTCCCCATTGTGGCCTTGCCCTACCCCCGTGGGTCATGATTTAAACAATGTAGAATCTACATTACCCCAGGATGCTTCCATATAAGTTTCAGCTTTTCTGGCCCAGTGGTTCTTGAGAAGAAGATTTTTTAATGACCCCACCCAATTTTTGTCTTTTCTTGATTATCTCCCCTTGTGAGGGACATGGCCCTTCATTTTTACAATTTGAATTTCCCTTTACTCAAGGATGCTTTGTACCAAGTTTGGTCAAAATTGGCCCAGTGCTTCTTGAGAAGAAGTCGAAATTGTGAAAAGTTTACAGACGGACGGACGACGGACAAAATGTGATCAGAAAAACTCACTTGAGCCTTCGGCTCAGGTGAGCTAAAAAAAGTAAACAATAGCCTACGAAGAAATTATTTTTCAATAACAGGCAAATGTATATACTTACGGGGTTTTTCCATCGATTAAAATATAGATGTAACTCAAAGCACATAAATAGTATTTTCGAAATGAACTATTGAGATATTCAAAACAACACCAAAAACGTGGGTTTAATTAAATGAACAAGTGGTTCAGATAATTTTACTGCACCCCAAAAGGTATATTGTGGCGACTGCAAATTTTTAAACGACTCATGGAGAATACTGTCCATATACATGATATCATACCTGGAGCAGAGGCAAACATAACTAAAGAGTCATTGACACAAGGAGGTGGATCACTTATGGTAGGCCCTGGAAAAAAGAAATCCAGAATTTCTTGTTCAAATCTTCGACATTTCTCCTTAATTTCCTTTGCCTGATCTAATGTGAAACCTTCAGCAAGTAAAGTCTCAGATAACTTGGTGGCCGTCTCCTCTCTTCCTTCTGCTTCATGTGGTGTTCTTTTTGTATGCTCCTTGAGATATGTTGTATATTCCAAAATATGTATGTGGAGTTCTCGTTTAATCTACTAAGTATTTTTTTTCCATGTTTCTGAAGGAAACAAAATGGGGTCTAGGGATTGACAAAACACATTTTGTTTGAGAACACAGTAAAACTTGTTCTGTCATAACTATTTGTTTTTATTTTGACATAGTTTTAAGATACGAGATGATATACGGTATATACTATATGTAGATCCTACCTAAAATGTCATAAGGTTCCGATTTTTCATCGACAGGTTGAAGTTCGTTTTTTTACCGATCAGGGGAAAAATGAAATACTTATATTAAATATAAGAATTTTTAAAGCTTTTTTAAAACAACTTTTCTACTTGCCTCCTGGATTTGCTTCAATCTGGCCTCGTTATCTTCTTCTGTATGCTTCTTGACACTTCTCTTTGCGTCTGTTTTATCCTTATTTGAGGGACCCCTGGAGGCATCTATAGACTCTGAGCTCACTGGAGCAGATCTAATATCATTTTCTTCCGTCAACACACTGACCATCACCCCAGGATCAAAATTCTTATGTTCGTGCGAATCAAATCGGCTTCTGCATGACTAAATGTATACAGATACCTTGAAAATATTTCCGTCATTACAGAGATATTTTAAAATCAATGTCAGTTTTAGTAATTTGGAATCTTTTCTAGTAAATTATATAGAACGTGAGAAAAAAAATTAGATCCGCCGTATCATATCGTATATATGCAGATGCATGCATTTAATTATAAAGCAATAAAGTTTGAGTAAGTTAATCTTATACCTGAATGAAGTAAAAACGGGGTTTTCCTTTAAGAGCTGGGCATTTGCGCTGGTCAAACATTCTGACAATGTTTCTAGTAAAGAGAGGCTTTCCGTCATGGAAGAACAACTGATGTACCATTTCAGTCCTGGGTGGTTTCTTCTGATCAATGATTCCAGATGGGTGCTGCTCGGTGGATTCCGACTCAGCCTCTTTAATAGCAATGGGTACTTCTTGTCCGTGTGTACTGATAATCAGTACAAAGTAGCTAGGCTTCAGTATTTTACACCACTTAATTCCTACAGCATTTCAAAAATACTTTAGGAAATTATTTTAAGGCATATATTGCCGCTGTTAAATAATAATAAATGTCCCAAAATCAAAATAAAAGTAACTCTGACCTTCTTGTAAAAATTCTTCTGTTTGTTTAGCAGTTGGATTCAGTTTCTTTTTTACAAAACATCCTAGCTCTTCAAAACAATTCTTCATTATTTTAAATTCACAAGATGAAGCTTCCCTTTTCTGTAATAGTATACCAGCTTCCTCAGACTCGTATTCAAATACACCAATGTAAAGACATAGTCCTGGATTTTCAAGTGGATAGGCGTTACCCTCTTCGTCTTGTTCTTCTTGTTCATCAGATTATGTCTTGGCATTTATTCTGCTCAGAATAAAATGACATATGCAAACAGTATGAACCATGAAGCTTCATAACAGTGGTTGAAACTGCTACAAAGAAAACAACGTATATTTCATTTTTGTCAATTTTTGCCAAGTTATTTTGTATTGTATAATTTTTTTCTGACCTAACAAAGTCTCGCCTAAAGAGCCTATTTAAAATTTCATACTTTACACCAGAATCCTTCGAGTTTTCATCTTCATTTGTTGTATTTAAATAAAAGTATGGAGCTTTTCTTTGATTGTTATCGTCCTCTATTTCGACTCTTGGAAACTTTGGTTGTGTGTTATGTATTGGAGTCTGTACAGGGGTGACCGTATCTACCTGATCTTTTGAGGTACTAAAACAATTTAGATTGTTGAATTTATCCACAATTTCCTTGGCCAATCTGTTAATGATGCCTGGAGTGTTGTCGTCCATAGATACAACCATGTGATATACTTTTGATTCATGCCTCAGGTATTCTTCGTTTTCACCTATCCCAGTGACTTTTGGGGCAAAAGAAGGAAAACAGGTCGGAAAAAGAAGCTGGTTTATGTTACAAACCACAACCAAAATGAAGTCAATTCCTTCATCTTCATCATCATCATCATCACCCAACAGCTCTGATTAAAACAAATTAAAATAAAACTTACACAAAAGAATATAACCCAGCAGTACAACAGATAACACCATTACTAATGAAAATTATGAAAGGGAATTCATGTGCAGAGATGATGTCACCTCAGTCACTTCATATCGCGTCAAAATGTTTTGTCTTAATATATTAACGAGTATTTATAAACCAGTCCAATTTCTTTCCACTGGCAGCGAAAGAGGTTTCTTTGGTAAACGTCCCCCTCGAGAATTTTTCACTCATACGGAGCCGCTACCAGTTGTCGGTGGAGAGCTGCAAATTTTGACCCTTACTCGGCACTCATGGCACTGAACGCCTTTGAGCAGTAAAGTTTTTATTTACCGCGACACGGGACAACGATCTCTACAGTTTCATCTGAAGGACCGGTTCCAGTAGGATTCGAACCCCGACGTACAAATCAACTCACTCTGCGACTCCAAAGCAGACTTTTATTCACTACGCAACGCGGCCACCCGAAAAGGGAAGTCAGGTAAGGTTACATTACGCAGCTGAACTATTCATTTTAAGTTATAGTACATTATTATCATGCTTTTAAAATTGAATAGGATATTATCTGAACATACATTGTATTTTATTTCATATGAAGTACACATAATAAACATGGTGCGAAATTTTATTTTTACCTTCCAGTTTGTTTTGGATTTTATTTGATGGCTCTTTCCAAAATGTGTCCCAGAAAACATTGTCTGTTATGACAATCAGAGATGATACTAGCTCAAGATCCTTCCCAATGGACTTTGCAACTGATCTAAGTTTTCCTGAAAGATTACATTTTTTTTTATTTTCTAATTATTCGATTGGCGCATACATATATTACTTAAGTCCGATCAGATTCAAAATTGTTCTACAATGATTATTGGATTAAATATGTTTTAATTTCATTCAGAGTCATACTTTAATTAATATATTTTAAATTTGTTTGTAATCTGCTCCAAACAAATAATCATACCTGTTATTATCTTTCCCTCATCAACGCCAGCATCAACCACTCTTTGCTTTTGCCCAATTAAGGATTTTATTTCCTGTGATAGCGGTTGTAATGTTTTGGTGTTCTTTACATAAAGTAACCCTAACAAATATTAAAGTAAAAATTCAGAATCTAAATCAAAATCTCGTGTTAAAACTAAAATGAACACTGTTAAAGTTACCAAAGTTCACAATAAAATGTCTGTGAACTTTAACAAGGAGTCAAGATCCCTGACGAACGAACAGCTGAATTTCATGGGTTTCTGAGAAGATATATAACCAAGTCGAAATTTATCCCCAGCTGAAATTAGAACTCTTAACCCATACTATTTATCTATATTCAATAAGGACTAACGCTCGTGATCCTGTTTGTTTCTGTTTGATAAAATTGAAAATAATATGTTTCCTTTTAGGTACTTTAAGGTTTCGCTTGTTCATTGACATACGTATTTTGTGAAATCATAAAAATGTGCTCCCACTTATTCCACGTCTAAAGAAAAAAAAATCAAAATATGATTTTTTTTCCAAACATATATCCATATAAGACAATAATGAAACATGTAACCTATGATTTCAAAGTAATAATAAATTGATTGAGGGCTACCTGATAATAATAGTTACGCCAACGGTTTCACTTTGAATACTTAATGTCAGAAGAGGTTTTGACCGAATCCTAGGAATATTTTTTTTAAAAAGTGAAATTCACAATTTTGTTCCAAATGTAAGTGGTGAAATTATTCAGTTGTTGCAGAGAAGAAACTGAAAATATAGATGATAGACGAGGTACAACAAACAATGACAATAGAGAAACAAACTGCTACGATAGTAAGGTGTTCTAAAAATAGCTAGGTGCTCATTGAAACAATTAATAAACAAATTACGTTTTAAAATTTCGAGAAAATAAAATTAAAATATAAATAAGTTAAAAATTTAAAATAGCTTTTTAATATATATTCTTAATTGTATTTTCTTTCATAACTTACCTATTTTCCCTGTCATATTTTTTTGGGTGAATGATACTTTCGTTTTATTATTTACCTATAAGTTTTTATGTATTTAAGGTGCATTATGTCACTAGTTACTAAGTTTAGTATCGATAAAGCCTGTCTGATTAAAGATCATACCTCTGCTCTTTTTTTTGATTTTGATTGTAAATCCGTGTAATTGGAATGGATAAAAGCCAAGTGCTGAAAACCCTTAGATTTAGTCTTCCTCAAAGAGAATGTCTTAAATAGAAACCAAAATAACTAGGTCTGAGGAAAACTTAAAAAACAAACATGCATTTACTGACATCACAAAATTTATCATTATCCAAAAACGTTAAATGCTATTAATATTTAAAGTTGATATAAATTGTGTTTTTAAGCGGCAGATACATGTACCATCGCAAGGCACTAGATTTTGTCAGTGAATTTTTTGTGGTACTTTTGTTGTTACATATGTTTATCCGTTAAGGTAGATCAATTCTTAAAAATTACCGTTTGGTAAGGATGAGACTCATAGAGTTGGCGTAATTATTCTTAAATGATTTTGAAAACTTAAGGTCAAGATCTAGTAAATGAAAGGTTCCTACAGATTTACCAAACTTGAGAAATAAACTCCTTTATTGATGCTTTACAACTTTAGCTTGGTCAAATAAGGTGTATCGGGGCATAATTTGTAGGTAAACAAGATGAAAAACTGTATTTTAAACTATCATTTTCAATGAAAAATTAAGAAAACCAGTCATGAATATGTGAGTTTTTTTCGTATTCGGCAATGGAAACGTATCCAGATTGCCTACAGTCTCTCAGAAAACGGTAATTAGTATGTTCATGGCCTCTTCTTTAAATCAATATCAAATTTAATATAGGTATCCAGTTTACTTTTCATATGATTTCAAATTGAATGACATGAAAATACCCTATTTTCTACATAATTCTGCTATAGCCGTAAAGTACGGGAAAAAGAAAGTTGATATTGATTATGACGTCATAATGGGTCTAGCACCAAAAAATTTGTCTCAAGTTATTTACTAGATCTTGACCTTAAACGCTTTTATAAATTAGCTACACAATTGTATGAAAACACCAGAGAAAATTTCGCTATAAAGAAATATTTAGATAACTCGTGTATTTTGATACACGTGGCGCAATGGTCAGAGGTTTACTTTCATTGCAGGCCTAGAGCTAAAAAACTTTGACGAGCTCACTTTGATCTCAGTTTATTTTTTCACTATTAAATCCCATGGAAAAGTGAGACTGAGATCAAAAGTAAGCTCGCAAAAGTTTTATGGCCCCAGGCCAATCCTTCAGATGTGACCATACCGAGAAAGGTATCGTTTCACAGTAAATGTAGTTTCTGGCACAAAAGACCCCTCATTGCTCAAAGGCCTAAGTACCGAGTACAGGTTTAAATTTGCAGTCCTTCATTGGCAAGTGGTGAGTAAAAATTATCGATAGGTCATTAACAAACGTTACTTTGAACAACATTTTTAACTCAATAAGCCTAACCTCTTAACAGCACTACTCATTTGAGCATGAGTGAGCTTTTACTATTTAATTACGATTTAGGTATAATGCTGCTCAAACTAGTTGTTCATTCTCACCAAAAAGTATAAATAACTAGATACGATCTCGTTGCGAGCAACGAGAGGTCTTCCGTCCGATTCAGGAAAAAAAAAACTTGTAAAATCGTACTAAAAAGTGATTCAAAATTTTGATCACAAGGAGGAGTGAATCCAGGTCGCCAACGTGAATGCGCCTTTTTTCTCTTTTCTCCCCAACGCGCGAACCATTTAGCTATTGGGAATACTGCTTTAAATATACTTGTGTATACTTTTGCAACAGTACACCTGTCTAAGAATCATAAAAGGCGGGCCACTATTCATAATTTCGTGTCAAACGCCACGCGTAAATATTCGCACCTTTTCTTTGTACTAATCTATTATTAAGGTGCAATAGTTTCAATGAAATTAATTAAATGAAACATTCTTATCGCCTTTATTTTATTTCGGCGTTAGGAAAGTATATTTAACACATTGTACACATTACATATCGTATCTAGCCCAGTAACACTAAAGCAGTGAAACGTAAATTAAGTTTTTTAAGATTGACACTGAATTGCAACGTACTACTACGTGAGAGTCCAAGTATTTTTTTTGCATTTCATATATCCTTATGTCAGAATGGTTTAATCAAACGCTCAGCTGCCTCCATAAGCCCCTACTCGCGAAATGTCGGAGTTGACAGAGACAGCCGCCATCTTGGGCCCGCTTCAGATTTTCAAATATTAATATCTAGAGTTCAGATTAACCAATATTAAAACAACTTATATAGTAAGCATCAATAAAAGTGTCTCTATTAATATTCCAAAAATAAATGAAAAATATTGAAAAACAAAGAAAGTTGAAAATTTGGACTTTTTGAATTGGCTTCCGGTAGCGACAGGAAGTACTGACGACGAACGAAAAGTTGCGTCCTGGAAAGTATTGATCATCATCTATAAACTCTGAAAGTTTCACATTGATATCTTTTACCGTTTTTGAGTTTAATCGTAGACAAAATGTCGTTTTAAAATCAGGAAAATGGTCCAAAACTTGGCACCAGATAGGAATTTCCAAAAACTGTCTTGGAACTTTCAAGAGTATCTTACAACACATCTTTCTTGAAAATTTCATGTAATTCTATTCAGTAGTTGTCGAGAAATCGTGTCAGAAAAATAATAATAATAATAATAATAAGAAACAGAGCAATAACTATAAGGTCTTCCGTGAAGACGGAAGACCTTAATAATATTTCATAAAAAACATTAATTCTATAGAATAATCGTTTAATGTATATATTGAACATAACATGTCAATGATAACTTGGAAAATAGTTAGTATATTAAAATAATACATGTATATGATCACAGGTAGATATAAAAATAACAATGTATTACAGGAGTGAAGTTACCCGAAAAGTGATAATTAAGATTAATTAATGAAAAGTTAAACACACGCATTCCTTCATTCATTAATATTTATATCATTATAGCAGATCTCAAATTGGCACATAATATGCAAAAAGATCTTATATAATGAGATCGATACTTGAACAGTTAAATAACATGCCACTTGCATGTATTGCCAAGGCGATTAAAAGTTTTTTCTTGAGAAAAAAATAATGATTTAGCTACAATTTGATAAAAAACAAGATGTGTTTGTTAAAACACTATGCGCCCGGCGGCAACAAAGTTCAAAAAATCTATTTTTAGCATATTGGTTACAGTCAAGGTCACAAGGTCATTGACCGTGGTGTCATTTGAAAGAACTTAATCAGTGGAGTATGCATCCCAAATATGAAGTCCCTATCTCCTATGGTTTAAAAGTTATGGCAAAAAGTGTAAAAAGCTATTTTTAGCATATAGGTCACAGTCAAGGTCATTGACCATGGTGTCATTTGAAAGAACTTAATCAGTGGAGTATGCATCCCTAATATGAAGTTCTTATCTCCTATGGTTCAAAAGTTATGGCAAAAAGTGTAAAAAGCTATTTTTAGCATAAAGGTCACAGTCAAGGTCACAAGGTCATTGACCATGGTGTCATTTGAAAGAACTTAATCAGTTGAGTATGCATCCCAAATATGAAGATCCTATCTCATATGGTTCAAAAGTTATGGCAAAAATTGTAAAAAGCTATTTTTAGCATAAAGGTCACAGTCAAGGTCACAAGATCATTGACCTTGTTGTCAACATAAAGGGCTTCATTAGTGGAGTATGCATACCAAATATGAAGTCCCTATCTCCTATGGTTACAAAGTTATGACAAACAGTGGAAAAAGCTATTTTTAGCATATAGGTCACAGTCAAGGTCACAAGGTCATTGACCTTGATGCCTTTTGAAAGGACTTTATTAGTGGAGTATGCATACCAAATATGAAGTCTCTATCTCTTATTGTTCAAAAGTTATGGCCAAGGTTAAAGTTGACAACAGACAAACAGACAAACAGATAAACAGACAAACAGACAGGACAAAAACAATATACGCCCGGGATCTATCGATCCGGGCGCATAAAAATATTAACTTAAAGTTACATAGACAGTGAAATACAAATTAAATAAAATAAATAATTAGCTTAATATATTTGTGGTTCACCGAAAGAACTCAAAAGATCGTGATAGAAATCCATCAAAGCATTTCTATATACAATGTATCGACAATAGTAAAATTATAATAAAGCTACAATAAAGTCATCTATCTAAAACAAAAGAGTCGGAAAGACCTAAATTATAATTAGACATCAAACATGTAATCAATCTGCATCTATTAACTAATTAGATCTAACTAGAAGTACTTATATGGCAAATTGGATTCAAATTTATGAGATCAACCTTGAGCAAGAACAACACGTCTTATGATTTTATCATTTTCTATTATCCCTGAAAGTTTTAAGAAAATCTATAAAACCACCCAGGGAAAAAAATTTCCAACAAAAAAGGAGGAGAAATTTAAAAAACAAAACTTATTACTAGACATGGAATAAATATCAATGAGCAAATTGTAACAGAAAACAGTTATTGTTACCGTGCTACATATATGGCATATTATGAGATCACATCTTGAGCAAGAAAAGCCGTCATGTAGTTGTCTTATGGCTTTATGTGTACTCCTTTGTTAACTTTACTCCTGCTTATTTGAAAAGGAGATCACTATATCACAAATAATTGATATGGGAATAATATCAAAAATAGAACATTTCCTTGGCTGTTATACCTGTGATCCTTCCAAATGGGAGGTTATTTTCTAACATCCATACACAATCAGAATACTTGACTAGTACCCCGAAGCTTAGTACCAATTTCATAAGGGTTCTCTCAAAACTTTTGTATTTCTAGCATGTGACTAAAATTAAGTGAACCAGCAAGAGCTTTAATTTTTTGATATGGCTTTGTATTAAATTATAGAGGAAAATGCTAATGAATAATGCTTTGAGAATGAGGCATGTTCTGGACTTGCTTTTTTTATATAAACTATTGTACATATTCACTTTCAAAAATATGATTCAAAAAGTATGAACTGCAGTGAATAAGATTTTTTGGCCATCTTTTAACAAATTGTGTAAAAATTAGTGTATGCAGCTCAAAGCAGGGTGCAATTTAAATGCTAGAAAAATAATGGAAAAAGCATGTAAGTATGTACATGTACTATGATATTAGTTTAAATCATAATGACTGGTTTGATACAAAAGATTGAAATTCAGAGGTAGTTAGTGCTAATATTGTAAAATGCCCTCATTGTAGAAAGAGGGAATCAGAAAAAAAAATAAAAGGAAGAAAATTAAAGTTAATATACGTGTATTGTATCTCGTATACTAGTATAATAATTTACATGAAAACAACAACAAAATTATGAGTTTGATTATGGGGATTGAGGTGGGGTTGAATTGCAGAAGTAATAAAAAAAAAGATGTGTTTGGGACATTCCAATTTCTCCCCTTATAAACTTTTAAAATTTCCAAACGAAGATTTCTTTTTCCAATGAGGTTGTTGTAGACAAATAACATCTCCTGATAATAAACTACATGTAGCTATGTGCCTAGAGAAAGTTGCTAATATTCTACCTTAACAAGATTATGGGCCAGACGACCCTCTAGTACATTTGCACTATGTATGAAGTTTCTACCGTCTTGACAAAACTTAAAAATTTAAACTTCATCAATTCTTATTGTTGTAAGGTCACTTCATGTACCCTGATTACACCCTCCTACAGTAAATTCATGGTAAAAAAATCCAAAAATGTTGGTCAGAAATTAATATAAAATACAAATGTTTCTTCTCTGCATCATGATGGTTTTTGGGCATCTCTTTTTTTGCTAATTTTACTTCTACCATTGGAAAAATTTCTCATATTCTCCACTCTGGTCACTCTCAAGAAGTTCCTTTGCCCTTCTAATCTCCTCTGGCCATATTATGATATCCCTGCTGAGTCTATGGTACAGACAAGGTACTGACTTATGCCCACTACTCTTAATGGCGTCTGTATCTGTCTCGTATTTATATGCTATTCTCCGGGAGACCTTGGTCAGCTCTGCCAGGAGATCAATTTTTTCTGGTTTCGTCTTCAGAGTTTCCTTCAGCTGAGCCTCTAAGTTTGTGATCAGCCATCCTCCTTGTTTATCCCTGTTGTAAGCTTCCTTTCCTGAAAGTAGTCAATCACTTGTTATCTGCTGCAGCACATATGCCAGAGAATCATTTTCAATTTAAATGAAAAAATTTCCACAAAATCTTGATATTGTAAACGAATCCATATGAATGTTATAAAATGTGTAAACTACAGGCACTGGAAATTGTGTAGAATACAGGAACTTAAATATTTTGTAAGGCTGTTTAGGAATTTTTTTATAGTTTGTTTAGGAATTTTGTTAACTATACAGGTGCTAATAAATTGTGTGAAATTGTTTAGATGTTGTAAAGAATACTGGCTAGTATTACTACATGCATATTATGGGATGCTGTATAAGACATTTTGCAGAAATTCCATGTACTGTATATCTTAAGTCAGAAGATATTTAGAAATATCCATATGCTGATTGCTAATTACATAATAAACATATACCTGGAGCAGAGGCAAACATGACTAAAGCGTCGTTGACACAGGGTGGTGGATCACTTATTATAGGCTCTGGGAAAAAGAAATCCAGAATCTCTTGTTCACATCCGTGACATTCCTGCTTTATTTCTGTCACCTGATCAAATGTGAAGCCTTCTTTAAGTAAGGTCTCAAATAACTTGGTAGCTGTCTCCTCTCTTCCCTCTTCTTCATGTGGTGAGATTGGTGGATGCTCCCTGATATATTTTTTGTAATCCAAAATATGTCTGTGGAGTACTGCAAGTTTTGCTCTTTTTTCCCACTGTATAAGAATTGTGAAAAAATAAAATGCAAACATTATAAAATGGAACATCCTCAACATGAAACAACAACAGAGAATTCAAATCATAATTAATCATTTTATAATCCTTTTTCATAATTAATCATTTCCATGCATATTTTACATTCAGTTTTTCTTATCCTTCGTCTATTTTTTCTTTAGTCCATCAAATTCAGGATAAAGAGGAAATATTTTACCTAATACACAAGTACTAGTAAACAATTCTGCTTCTAAAACACTGACTGTAGCTGCTACACATAGACATTGTTTTAATTAACCTGGGTCGATCTTTGAGGTCAACTTTTTATTAGGGACAAAATTTATTGGAAAGTTTTGTTTACAGATGATTAAATGAAATGATAGTCTGATGCGTGGATGGAATTTTGTTCATTGAGTCGTAATTTGTGGATAAGACTGTTGGGGTAATCCACAAATATTTGCTACAAAAGTAATAATGTCTGAACAGTCATTCAACAGTGACTGATTTTTTTCTGAACTGATACTAATAGTTCCTAACTATAGGTACCAGTAACTTTTACTAATTATGTTGCAGTTTAATCTTATACTTGCCTCCTGGATTTGCATTAACCTGGTCTGTGTTTCTTCCTCTGTCTGCTTCCTGATACTTCTCTTAACGTCTGTTGTATCCTTATGTGAGGTATCTCCTGAGGCTTCTACAGAATCAGGGTGCTTTAGACCAGCCTTGATTTCCTCTTCTGCTGTTAACACATTGACCATCACTCCAGGATCAAAATTTTCATGACCATCTAAACCAAATCGGCTCCTGCATGACTAAGAAAAATATATCAAATTATTAACAACTGTTCCAAACATATATGTTTTCTTCTTTACAAAGTTGTTAAATTCTTGACAAAGAAAAAAAAATCATGTTCAGGAAAATGACAAAATGCACTATAATATTATTTTTTATGATACATACTATAATATTTTTTCTTGAAAATATTATAAACAGTGTTGAACATAAGCTTCTCTAAAACATGATAAAAAAAGATCACATGTACACAGTTCACCTTGACGAATGTATGCTTTTGAAAGAGCAAAGTCCCAAATTAAATTAATGATCGGTGCATTCCTAGATGCAACATTTTATGCAAGTTTGGACTAAGTAGAGCTTGTAGTTTCTATGGAATAAACTTGCTCTAAAAGCTTAAACGTGGTTGCTTATCTAGAAAAAGCAGGTCAGATATAACATCAAAAGCAAGGTTAGCAATGTGTATCCTTGATGCATAATCTATACATTTTTACTTCTGTGTATGTACCATATCGAGTGGTGTACCTCTCTACATGCATTACACATCTTTTAAAGATAGGTCCAGATATGACTTGGAAAACAGCCACTGGAATATATGTATATGCTCTAAAAACCTTAACCTGGTCACTCATTTTGAAAATGTTGGTCAAATTCAGCATCCAAAGCAAGTCTGGTCATAGCAGTATACAGCTAAGCAAGTTTGGTCAGCTAAGCAAGTTTGGTCAACATAGGCTTACAATTCTTTTAGAAATTGAATTGCATGTAACCTGTGCCAAATTCTTTAACCTGACTACTTACTTGAAAAATGTATGTAAAGATACAGCATCTGTAGCAAGTCTGGCAGTCTGTATTCTTAGATCCATCGTCAATGCAACCTTTACTTGAAAAAAATCTGCTTCAAAAACTTTATCTAAGGATATTTTATTACCTGAATGAAAAAAAGACAGGGTTTGTCTTTAAGAGCTGGACAACTGTTGTGGTCAAACATTCTGACAATGTCTCTAGTTAAGAGTGACCTTCCATCATTGAAGAACAACTGATGTACCCTTTCAGTCCTGCTTTGTTTCTTTTGAATATTGATCCCAGATGGGTGCTGCTCAGTGGACTCAGATTTATTGTCTTTCATAGGATCGGATACCTCTTGTCCATGTGTACTGATAATCAGCACAACATAGCTTGGGTTCAGTTTCTCACACCAATTAATTCCTAAAGCATATTTAATTTTGCTAATCATATAATGACAAAGACTGCACAAAAATATCAGTTATCCGGAATTCTCACATTGCTTTAATATGCTTGTGAAAAGATAAATACCACACAAGATAAATAGAAGTAAATGTAATAATAACCTTCTTGTAAAAACTGCTTTGCTTCTTGAGCAGTTGGGTTGGGTTTCTTTTTCACAAAACATCCAAGCCTTTCAAAACTATCCCTCATTTTCTTAAACTCGTTTGAAGAAGAATGCCTGTTCTCTAAAGACACCTCAACCTCTTGAGAATCAACATCAAAATGTAATAAACCAATGTAGAGACACAGTCCGGGATTTTTCAGGGGATAACTGTTCTCCTTCTCCCCATTGTCATTAGTGTTTGTTCTGGCAACAAATCTATGCAATACAAAATTTTTAAAATAGTATGCAAAGAGTAGGGGGTCGTTGCAGCATCAAGCAGTGGCAGAACCTAATGGTATTTTTGTCTGACATTTATAGTTTCTTGATAACAATGATAGGAAGAACTCAAAATTTCTACCAGAGGTAAAACAACCTTTTTATCATGTGAAATACACTTTCGGCCATTAAAAAAATGATCAAAAATCTTTTAGATTTAAATTCGACGCAACCCAGATTATGAGACATCATTCTAAGATGCTACATAACAAAAAAAAAATCATACTCAATGCCAGAATCCTTTGAGTCAGTATACTCTACAGGTTTTGCAGAGAGGTCTGGGGCATTCCCTTGATTTACATTTTCCACTTTCTGAACTTCTGGAAACTCCAGCTCCATGCTTTCATGTACTGGAGTCTGTACAGGGGTAACAGTATCTACTCGGTCTTTTGAAGAACTAGAACAATTTTGATTGTTGAATTTGTCCACAATTTGTTTGGCTTGGGTTTCGATGCTTTCTGGACTGTTGTTTTCCATTGATACAACCATTTGACATGTTTTTGATCCATGATCAAGGTATTTATCATTTCCTTCACTCTTAGTGTCTTCTATGGTGAGAGAATGCATAGAAGACAGGAGGTCCTTGTTTACTTTACAAACCACAACCAAAACAAATTTGATTCCATCATCATCACCATCATCCAACAGCTCTGAATGTAAAACAAAAATTAATCTTATTGTGAAAATAATTCTGACAGAGAAACTTAAAGAGAATTAACATAGAGTGTACGTAAAAATAGCATATTTAATATATTGACTGATGTTATTCATACTAATTGCTAGTCCATTATTTATGAACTGAATTAAGGACAGATTTTTTCCGTTATTTCCCGATCATGACAAGGAGCGTACATTGGGTGTGACCGGTTGGCAGGGGATGCTCTCTGCTTCATGGCACTTGATCCCACTTTTTATTTTTTGGAGGTCCATGTTTGCTCTGCTACTATTTTGTATTGTTTTATGGTCCCTTTTGATCTTAAATACTGTTTGTTATCTCCATATGTTTCATATACATGTATTACAAATGAAGAACTGCTGAGCAGATGTAAACAAGAGGACATGGGTACCATCATTACCAAATGCCAATGGAGGTGGATTGTACACGTTCTCCGAAAAGACCTCCAGTCAACAACAAGAACAGCTTTGCACTGGACCCAAAAGAAAGAGGGGGAGGCATAGAACATCATGGCGAAGGACAGTTGAAAGCATGATGAAAGCTTATGATACATTAGATTGTATCATTAGTGATCAATCATGTAGAAATTTGCTTGTTCCATGAAGCAGTGAGGCTGCTCTGCATTTGTGATGCTTAATGATATAAGTTTATCAATAAGCAGTGATTTAGCATTAGCGGTTGAAAAGGTAAACCATTAATGCAATAATTTATGGCATTAAGCGTTAAAATTGCAACACTTAATGATATGTGTATCATTAAGCAGCGTTATATCATTAGTGGTTTCTACAGGGCTGATACCTAGTGCAACTGATGATCTTCGAAAACATTTAAGTGAAATAAATGAAAACATTTCTAAAATCCAAGCATGTTCAATTTAATAACTCATTTGTACATAAGAAATATGGCAAGAAATTCTACCTTCTAGTTTGTTGTGGATCTTATTTGACTGATGATTCCAAAATGTGTTCCAGTAGACATTGTCTATGATGACAATTAGTGACTTTACTGACTTAAGATTTCTCTCAATAGATTTTGCAGTTGAAGTTAGTTTTTCTGAAGAAAAAAAAACATCAATATTTTAAAAAATAATATTATAATAAGATAGTGACATTTCAAAGATTAATATTTTTTTGTTTGTAAGGTGCATTTTTCTCTTGAATTGACTGTTTCTTTAATGTCCATTTCTTGAATTTTTCACTTATACTGAGATACCACCACTTATAGATGAAGAGCTCTAAATCTAAACCTGTATTTTTTTGCACTATATGTCTAATACATGACATGTATTATGGACAGATGATACCAAAAAAAAAAAAAAAAAAAAAAAAAAAGGATGTCTTAATAGGGCCAAAGTAAAATTATTGTATGTTTGGAATTGCCTCCCATCTCATTAAAATGCCCCCTCCTGAAAAAATTTTATTGAGCAAAAGTAAGAAGCTAATTCTTATTTGATAAATTTTTGGCCTGTTATCACATGCACCACACAAAACACTTATGTAGTGTCAAATCTGTGCAAAATCAGGATTCGTTGTTGATGGTAGATACTTTTATTTCAAAAAGTAAGAAAATGTTTTTTTTTTTACTGTGAATTGAGATTTTTATTAAAAATTTAAAATTTATCTTCAATTTTGAAAAAAAAAAAATCCTCCCTCCCTCCTGTGTCTGAAACCCTCCAGACATCAATTCCAAACAAACAATTTTTAAAGGGTGGCTTGGTATAAATTTCTTGGACCCATTTTTGTTGCAAATGATGCAAATATTAAATTTCTAAAATATTAAGATATTGTAAACTTTCTATGATGTTCAAACTTCTACCTTTTGGCAACAATCCTTATTAATCTACACAAATTGTTTCACTTCAACATGTTCAAATCCCATTATTGTGAAATTTTGATTGAAAAATTTTTAACTTCTCAGTTAAACTTGTTTAATTTACTATTATATACATGACACATGCTGTTATTTTCAAATACATGTAATTTAATTTTAGTTGTAACATATGTCATTTGATTGCATAAAAAAAATTTTAGTTTATATTATTTCATTTGTTATTTAAAATGCAAATCTACATTAATATTTACATTTCCAATGTCTTTGTCTGAGATAAAATTACAAATTGTAAATGTACTTTATTTCCCCATCAATGTATTGACGTGGTTCCAAAAAAACCACTTGCAGGGCGGGACAAACAGCTAGTCAGAAGCAGGGCTTGGAGCACGTGGATTGGCGGAATCAAAGCATGTAAGTTTAAGGAATAACTGTCAGATTTTTCAATTTCATGACGATGATCAATCGATTGGCTTGCGTGATAATTTTATGCATAAACGCCTTTGGCGTTTATGCTAATTATAATTAAATACAGGTTTGTAATCATACATTTGCACATATTTTAAGATATTATATGACACCATATCTATTCATAGCTGCAGAATGGTAGCTCTCTGCTTGAGAAAATTTGTACAGATAAAACAGAGAGCTACAGATCCATGCATTGTAAGAACCATCGATTGACGCTACCCTTTTTTGTGTTGCTCATTTCAGGTATTAGCCTATTTCTTGTAGTTTATGCTTTTTTACGCTCTTAGTTTGGTATCTGGTAATCAATCATCTATTTTGCTCCAATTATTGATAATTCATATACAGATGTACCTTTTGGTCTGAAACAGTCCTCTATCATGTCTACATGGTCTATGGATTTGGAATATCAGTTTAATTGAAAGATTCCCATTTTTATGTCCATGCAATTCCACAAACTTTTGAACAGTCTAGCCGAACTCAAAAAACGACGTGAACTCCAAAAAAGAAGTCTTTGGCTCCGTCATGCATTGCGGCAAAATGGCTTCCGATGTAAACAAACGATGGATTGTCGTTCGCTTTTCCAAAATACGACTGAATAATAGCTGTATTTAGTAAACTGTGACTGGATTTCAATTTTTGTTGAATAAATAATTGTACCCATTAAATTATTTAGTGGTTATTGACTTAATTATCACTCTGTACTCTTGCAAAATAGTGATTTGGGATATAGTTACCGACAAGGTCAATAAAGTGTAAGAATAAATTTTTAACTTGTCCCCTTGATTTAAATTTTATGCCATAATTCCTACTGTAAAGATGCTTAAATTTTACTTCTAAGACACTTATATATATCGTTTTTTTTAATGAAAAATACAATTTTGGCGGCGGAGCAAGATATTAACAGGTATCAATTTGAGAAGACTTTTTTACCGTAATTTTAAAAGAATGATTTTTTTTGAAGTTCTTAAACAGCATAGATTATAATTCTAAAAATGTTTTCATGATTATATCTATTCATATGTGAAAACATTAGGTATATATATAGCGATGGTGATAACTAACGCTCTCAATATTCAGATGTCATACAGGATTATATGACGAAATAATATTACAAATAGGTAAAAATTCGGTCAATGTTTAACAGTTACAACATATATATTACATGTTCAATTTTACATATTTTTCCCTATTTTTTATTAAATATTTAATTCCCAAACGTTTATTTTTCTTATATATTTGATCTAACTTGAAACGTGAACTTTCTTCAAAAAAGCCTCGGAGGAAATGTGGAAACTGATTGGATTCTCATGTAACTGTCACCTGATGATAAGTAAAACTCAAAGGTCAAGAACTCTTATTTATGATTAAAACCATCAATTCATTACTTTTTTAATTATTGGTAAGATGTATTTACAATGCAGTTGCTCATTGCTGATCTAAACATCCTGAAATTCATTCGTACACGATAGACATGAAAGACAGAGGAAATTCGAACTGAAAATTTAGCGTTCCTTACTTACAAAAAAAACTTTAAAATCAGTAAAAGTAGTTCTAAAATGACTAACTTTGTCACTACAAACAAATTATCAACCAAGAGATGTTTTCTATATATTACGACTGTTTAATTTGTATTTTGTATCCTACTTGTACGATGTCTGGCTGAACCTCGAAGTTGGTCAACTTTGACTTGAAATTAAAAACTATTTGCACATGAAATCAAAATTCTAACAAATACGTTCTCTAAAACTATTTATTATTAATCATTTCTCAGTACTTACATTATTTTAAAGAATTCCATATATTTTTGCAAAAACACTTTTTATAAGAGCCCACTTTTCATGATTTTTGACGATTTTTCACCGTTTTTTATATAACTGCGCATGCGTTGGAATTTATATACACGTTTTTTGGAGTCTTTTCTCCTACCTGAAATTCTCACTTTCCGTTAAGCCGTTTTTGGAGAAGAAGATTTTGAAAGGTAAATGATTAAATGAATATTTAGAAATAGGGGTTAAATGTATGGTGTCGGACATCATTTATAAAGCTGGGGTAAACATAAAATATAAGAAATGATACCTGTAGTGAAAAAATCCCCTTCACCCAAGGTTTTTTGTGGCAAGTTTGCTTTATTGGCCCAAATTTTAAGTGGTTCTCCAGCTAAGAAGTCACAGAATAACATGTGATCATTGTTTACTTGCATTTTTCATTTCCAAGCATTAACAGTCAAAATATGTCACAACACAGAAATTGTCATTTACAAAAATTACTGATTGGTCGATTGATGTTGCTCAACTCCATGCAATCACAACTCGTGAAAAAATCCCAAACTTTTTTTAATACTGTATATTATGCCAAGAGTTTATAATGAGAATAGCATATCAAAAACCCTTGGCTAATGATGATGATCTTCTCCTAGTAAAATAATTACCTGGTTTAATTTGGTCCTCTTCAATGCCTACATCAACCACTTTAAGTTTTTCCTCAAGCAGAGTTTTTATCTCCCTGGATAGTGGTTGTAAAATTTCTTTGTTCTTAATATAAAATAACCCTGTAAAGTAATTTTGATATTATACTTCAGTTCTTCCGAAATAAAATGTATTATGTATAATGAGTATAATTATAAGAATATATTTTTTTTAAAAATACAAACTTTCAAAAATGACATTGAAGAAAATCAAAACAGGAAAACTTACTACTGTGAAATAATATTTTTCAAACAGAATTTGTTGTAAAAATTTAGAACCGTTACAACATTTCTCATCACTACATCAGATCAAAGTTTTAAAGACGTTAGTAAGATCTAAATATATCTCTTACTCCGTTCAAAGCTTACCTACTTCCCCAGACATTTTGAGCGATTGAGGCTAGGCTTACTTTCGTTTCATTATTTACAAATGGGGTGCTACTAAAACGCGGAACGGAACAGAAGCAGGAAATCTTGAATCAAGCCATTTTTCCCGTTATTTATATATATCAGACCGGAACCATTACACTCGATTATAAAAGTTCATAATTAACATTACTAATGCAATGCTATTCATTATTTTTTTCAGAACGAGCATAATTTTATATTTTTATCTAATTTACGGTGGCGTCTAATACTCTAAGTGCCCTTCGTATTTATTTTTTAAGTTGGAAATTCCAACTTTAAAGTTGGCATTTTCCACGAACATGAACAATGGAATCCTCTAAGTGTATTGAAAAAACCTCTAAAGTTGGCTTTTCCAACTGTAATCTTTGCTTCTAAACTTTTTAAAAATGCTTTGTGTCTCATTATTTTTATTTTTAACAAATAACTTTTTATAACATTCTCTTTAGAGAAGCCCCCCCCCCCCCAGGCTTTGAACGTCTATATGTATATTCAGTAAAAGTGACCTTGGATCCCCCTAGAAAACGGTGACGTACACCTCCTCGGAAACACAACACAGATCTATGCATGTGCTATTGGTATGAAAAGTTATTAGTATGTAGCTAAATAAACCTTCCACTACACTTCTCCTCCCCCACGAATAAGGTTTTTCACTTTAAGGAAAGATAACGAAATTTCTGGGTTGGTTTTTTAACAGTAGGTAAAACTGCAAAGTGAAGGCCACAGGGTAATCTAAAATCATACATGTAGTACAGGAATATTTAGAAAGTTGTCACAGATAATATACATGTTTAATATGAAAACTCTATCTCCAATAAATCACGGACTGTTCTTCAAAAAATTATTACAAAGGACCTGGTTTGAGTCTAAATATGTATTCCCTTTTATAGAAAAGTGGACAGGCTTTCATCCACTTAGGCCAAGTCACGTACAGGGTAAAAAATCATAGTATATTTGGAAAGGTGGATATACATGTATGTCACAGGTAATGCAACTGTAAATTATGAAACTGTATCTCTTCCCTTTCAAAAGTTTTGGCCAAGGTTAAAGTTTTTGCAATAAACGGAAAGACAGACAGACGAGTGAGTTCCAGTGTCCCTTCGCTTTCGCGAAATTGGGAAATAAAAATTGTTGCGTCAGCCACGCAAACGTACCTGTTTTAGGAAATGAGGAATCAAAACATTTAAAGTATGAAAGTCATTGTATCTCCCCCCACCCCCCCACCACCACCACATACAATGCCTTTAATTTATTTTTTTTATAGGTGAATGGTGAAATTTCTGTATTGATTTTTTCTTATTGACATGAAAAAAAATCCTTGCTTAAAACCATGATGATTCATATCTTATATGGTCATTAAATTGGAGTGATAGAATATTACATGGAATTCATGTTATTGATCATTTTGATATGGCCGATAAACTGTATATTAACACATTTTTAAGTGGTCATTTGAGTTATACACACTAGAAATAGCCGACAAAATTCGTAATGTTAAACATAGAGAGGTGAAAGTTGACATCTTTAACAATTTGTTATCTGAATTTGAAAATACAAAGGGTGTTTTATCATATGTATTCCACTTTTAACAAAAGTTTGCTTTCATCAACTTAGGCCAAGATCACGTACAGGGTAAAAAATCAAAGTGTATTTGGAAAGTTCAATATATGTCACGTAATTGTGTGCATGTGAATTATAAATTAAACTATATCTCTTCCCATCCAACAATTATGACCAAGGTTAAAGTTTTTGCAATAAACAAGACGTACGAGTGAGTTAAATGTACAATATTTCGCGAAAAGGGAAATAAAAATTTATGAAATCTGTTTTAAGAAAGATAATAAAGCATTTAAAGTGATGCATTTGATGATTTTATACAATGTTTATGCTATAATTTATCTCTGTCCTTGTATAGGTGAATGGCAACAGTTAAACGTCGTACATCTTTATAAAAAGTGACCATTGATGGCCAAACATATATTTTAAAAATTGCGCGCTGGTAATTTTAATGGGTGTACAGGTAACTCTTATCTCACCCATTTTACGGTCCCACCTGAGTTAAACACACTAGATAGCGGATCTTCATGTTTAGCCCTAGTAGAACTGACATCTTTATTTGTTATCTGAATTTAAAAATAACTTTATCTATATTCCACAACAATAGTTTGTGTATACCTAACTATGGTACAGGAGAAATGACATAATTTCATGAAAATATCAAGCCAAGGTAACTCAGATTAACGCACCGTTCACAAAGCTCAGTCGGTAGAGCGCACGCTGGGCGTGATCTGGCGGTCGTGAGTTCTCGGTCGCGACATTTCCTGATTAAAAATGGATAGCAGTTAACTATTCCTTTGCCATGCTCTCAGCACTTGAAGTGAAAAGTGCGGGTCATTCGGATGAGACCTTTTGAAAAAAACCGAGGCCCCGTGTCTCGACATGCGTCGGCACGATTTACTGATAAGTCGGACCAAAACAATGTCGGACTACCGGTATAACAAACTCGGACTATAACAAACTCGGACTACACAAAGCCGGACCATAACAATCTCGGACTATAACAAACTCGGACCATAGATTAAATTTACTATATTTTAATATAATTATGTTTGAAATTAACAGTTATAAACACCTGCAGAGAAAATCTATACGCCCGCTGTGCCATTTACTATTTTTAAATACCAAATTTATTTATATTTTGTTACAGAGATATTATGACTTTTATAGTCTACAGATACGTATAACCAGACAAAAGCAATTTTGAGAGCATGATTTTTAGTGTGTATTGCTTTTACAAATTTCCTATGTCGTTGAGAATGCCTGTCGAGAAAATTTTACTCTTGGTTATTTTTTTAAAGCTATATTGATTTTAATTAATATATCTATTTTGATAAAGTATTTTGTCGAAGACAAATAAATAAAAAATGAGGAAAAAATATATATTATTAACGCATAGCTTTTTAATCTTAATTTATAAGTTTTAATGCAATAATAATACTGCGTTGTTAGACTTTTATAAATGAAACGAGCACTTTTATACAATATTTACTGATAGTTTCTTATTTCAGCATGTTTGTACGATCTGTTGTGAATACAGTAATGCGAGCCATACGAGTAAAAGAGTTTGGAAGCCCAGAGGTTTTAAGACTTGAAACAAATGTTCCCTTGCCAAAACCTTCAAATGATCAGGTAATATTTATACCCCCCGCTTGAAAAGTGGGAGGGTATATACTGTAGTAATCGTTGATTCCGTCCGTCCGTCTGTTACGCTTTGGGTACCTGCACGTGTTTTTATCCGCAACTCCTCTCATACAACTGAATGAAATTTGATGCAACTTTCACAGAATCTTTATTACATATTGCCATTGTGCACCTCCTGTTTTACTTTTTGATCCGACACATATTTTGGGTTTCCGGCCAAAGGAAAACATGGACTTTTTCACCAGTTATGGGAGGCGGGGGGTATCATTTAGTGAGCTCATCGCTCACAGTACCTCTAGTTATTTACAGGTTACAAGACACTAGAAAATTTTTGGTTTTTTTTTCAAGTGAACGTACTAAGGTCATTTCTTATCATTTAATTATGATTTTAAATGTAAACTAGAGGTACTGTGAGCAATGAGCTCACTAAGTGATACCCCCCGCCTCCCATATGAATATATTGGCAGTATCCATGTTTTGCTATGGAAAATCCAAAATATATGTCAGATCAAAAAGTAAAATAAAAGGTGCACAATGGCAATATGTAATAAAGATTCTGTGAAAGTTTCATTAAATTTCCTTCATTGGTATGAGAGAAGTTGCGGATAAGAGATGGGTACCCCAAAGCGTAATAGACGGACAGAAATACCGATTACTATATACCCTCCCGCTTTTCAAGCGGGGGGTATAAAAAATGAAACTTTCTTTCACTTTTCTAAGAAATTTACGCATCGAAAACCGTGCGCACGAACACATCACAACAACGTTAATGTTGCTGAAATTCAAAATGGCTCTAACAAAGACACGTTGTCTAAAATTGTCGTGTCTAGATTTTATTGATACAGTTATCAAAAGAATTTTAAATGATAAAAAATTCCGCAGCATTTATAGGATCGCTCGTGAAATAAAAGTAGAAATAAAGAATACAACTATAGAATCATTTATTTAAGAAATAAGGTATCATTTTTTGGGTTTTATTGAGATGTAAAACGGGTTGGTCACGTGATCAAATCCCATAAAGCCCGAAGGGCTTTATGGAAGATTTGATCATGTGCCAACCCGTTTTTCTTAAAATATAAAAAATGATACCTTATTACTTATATTTACATTTGTGACTTATTCATACTTTATATTTGCCTGATTGTTACTTTTAACGTGTGAAATGCGTTAATTTTTCAAACCCAACGGCATGTATGTAATCCACTAAACGCGCGTCGACCCTTTATGACGTCACAGAGAAATTACGTCGAACGTTTATCCAAACGCACATCTATGACCTCTTGACCCCATACCTGTACTTACACCGTTATAAAAACGCTTGCCTTCAGTAGTGTTATATAAAGGAAAACATTTGCAAATGTAAATATTGAAAGATATATATGTAATAGATATATAAAATTACTTTAACTTTAATTAAAGGAAAAAAACTAGAAGAAGTGTGAGCGATGAGCTCACTAAATGATACCCCACGCCTCCATATATTTATAATTGCAAATTCCATGTTTTGCTGTGTCCGGGAAACCCAAAATATGCGTCGGATCAAAAAGTAAACTAGGAGATGCACAATGGCAATATGTTATAAAGATTCTGTGAAAGTTTCATCAAATTTCATTCAGCGGTATGAGAGGAGTTGCGGATAAGAGATGGGTACCCCAAAGCGTAACAGACGGACGGAATTAACGATTACTATATACCATAATATTTATACCCCCCGCTTGAAAAGCGGGAGGGTATATAGTAATCGTTAAAGTCATCATTCCGTCCGTAAGTTCCGTCCTTCCGTCTGTCCGTCCGTCCGTCTGTTACGCTTTTTGGGGGTACAATTTATCATCCGCAACTCCTCCTAAACCACTGAGTAAAATTTGATGCAACTTTCACAGAATCTTTATTACATATTGCCATTGTGCACCTCCTATTTTACTTTTTGATCCGACACATATTTTGAGTTTTTCCAGCCACAGGAAAACATGGACTTTTTCACCAGTTTTAACCATATGGGAGGCGGGGGGTATCATTTAGTGAGCTCATCGCTCACAGTACCTCTAGTTACATTTGCAAATGTTTTCCTTTATATAACACTACTGAAGGCAAGCGTTTTTATAACTGTGTAAGTACAGGTATGGGGTCAAGAGGTCATAGATGTGCGTTTGGATTAACGTTCGACGTAATTTCTCTGTGACGTCATAAAGGGTCGACGCGCGTTTAATGGATTACATACATGCCGTTGGGTTTGAAAAATTAACGCATTTCACACGTTAAAGTAATAATCAGGCAAATATAAAGTATGAATAAGTCACAAATGTAAATATAAGTAATAAGGTACCATTTTTTGAGTTTTATTGAGATGTAAAACGGGTTGGCACATGATCAAATCTTCCATAAAGCCCTTCGGGCTTTATGGGATTTGATCACGTGACCAACCCGTTTTACATCTCAATAAAACTCAAAAAATGATACCTTATTTCTTAAATAATGGATGCGGTCAATGACTAAAGATCATAAAACATTTAGTGAATATATAGTCCTAAAAGAATATTACTTTGTAATCTGAGAATCTTTTAATTTGAAAAAAAATAGAGGTACTGTGGGCACTGAGCCTACTAAATGATACCCCCTGCCTCCCATAAAATTACAATGGCAAAGTTCCTGCTTTGCTCTTGGAGAGACTTAATAAGTATGTCAGATCAAAAAGTAAAATAAAAGGGGCACAATGGCATTATGTTATAAAGAATCTGTGAAAGTATCATTAAATTCTACTCAGTGGTATAGGAGGAGCTGCAGATAAGAGATGGATACACTTCAATATTATAGAAAGAATGTCTGTGTCCATGTTTTGTTCTGCATGGGGAACCCGAAATATTTGTCCGATCAAAAAGTAAAATAGGAGGTGCACAATGTAAGAAATATTCTGTGAAAGTCTCATTATAAATTTCATTCAGTGGTATAAGAGGAGTTGTAAATAAGAGATAGGTACCCCATTTTTAGCGTTCAGACAGATGAACAGCTAGACGGACGGACGGACTTTAGTCTTTACTCTTGTTATTTCCATTCTTATTTCAATACTCAGGCACATGAAATTACTTATTTTTCTTTTTTAAAATATTTACCCCATACCTAATAATATACATGTATTTTTAGACATGGGGTTAAATTTTGTTTATATGAGAAAAATAAGTAAAGTCAGGTGTCTGTGGTCAATACGATGTACATGTATCCCGGTGAGCTGGAAATTAAAGATACCACAAAGCCTGACTTACCTTTTTCATATTAGGATATTTTAATTGAAAATGACGTTAATGGTGATCTAACAATCAAGCTTTATGATAAACGTGATGACTGATTTTTCAATCTTCAACTTCCCTTGCTTATACAGCAATAGACTTCCATCACCTGCATACAGGGTTTATATCTCTCAGTTGGTTCGATACGCAAGAGCATGCTCTACGTAGGAACAATTTCTGAAACCAGGTGACAGGTAAATTTTTGACAAACAAGTTGATGAAAAATTAATATCAGCAGTATCGTTTAAAGTCATCATTTCGTAAGTTCTATGGTCGATACAATGCATATGACCTTTTTAGCAAATACAATTTATCATCAAGTCAAATGCTGACTGACGTTTTACATACTAATTTTAAGGTGATAATTTATTTACCACGGAATTGTCGACATATGTTTCCGTTATTTCCCGATCAGGACAAGGAGCACATGACGGATGTGAACGGTTGACAGGGGATACTTACTCCTCCATGACACCTGATCCCAACTCAGATGTTTTGGAGGTGTTTTGTTTGCTCTGCTCTAATTTTGTATTGTTGAGTGGACTTCTGAACTTGAATACTGTTCCTAATTTCCATATCTTTAATTTTAATTAATTAAAAATAGAATTACAAGGGCACGAATAAATTACACTTTCTTACCGAGAATGCTGTTAAAAATTTTCATATAACGTTTAATTATTTTTTTTAAAATGTAATTTCATTTATAATAGGTTCTGATCAAAGTCCATGCAGCTGGAATTAACCCGGTAGACACATACATAAGATCAGGAACATATGCTGCAAAGCCAACCCTGCCGTACACCCCCGGAAAAGATATAGCAGGGGTTGTGGAGGAAGTGGGATCCAATGTGAGACACCTAAAGGTATAAAAAAAATGGTTTATATATATTAAATATATGTATTTATGATATGATATATAACTACATCATAAATATCGTTATATTCTGTAAATAAAAATTGTTTAACTACAACTTTTTATTTCAATATCCGAGAAAAGTAATATATTAAATGTCTGCTTCATAAAGAAGTTCATTTTTTTTAAAAAACGTATTCATCTTGAAAAAAAATATATCGAACAACTGGTTGTCTGAATAAAATTCGAAATTGGCACAAAAATAAATACACTGTATAATTTTATTCCTCAAAGTGAAGGCCAATAATAGATAACTACAAAAATCCAAATGTAGAATATCAACCATAAGGCAAAGTTCTTGTGCTCGTTCTGTTCCCTTCACAAGAAGAAGGTATGGTTTCCATACAAATTTTGCCCTGTGATTTTCTAAAAAATGAGACTGGTGTAAAAGTTGAAAAATCATGCTATTTAGATAATTAAAATTCAATGCACAAAAATCATACAAGTCATTTTTTTCACATGTGTTTTTAAATGCTAATTATGACGTCATAAACATGTGCATTTTCCCGTATTTTCGTAAAAAGTTGCAGAAGACACCAATTTTCAATAGAATTTTCTTTCAGATAACATTGTCCACAGGCATCGCCCACAAAGATCTTGAGATATGTGATTTGTTTTTGAATTTTGCACAAAATATCAAAAAATTAACGTGGGCGACGACTGTGGACATTGTTTTCTAAAGGAAAATCACCCTTGAAATGTGACATTTTGAGGCTTTTTCTGTTGAAAATAGAGAAATGCTTCACATTAATGACTTCATATTTGCAGAATGTAAACCTTCATGCCATATTCTTTCCTGATTTATCAGAGTCATTTATTTAACTAATATCTAAGCTAGTTTCAAAACTTTTTGATGTCATTACATTTTTAGGGCGCAATAAAGCTAAAACCATACCTTCTTCTTTTTCTCAACCTTTGGAGCGTTTTTTTTCGTTTGACACATATCAGAAAATCCACAGAAAGACTAAAGAGGAAGATGTTATGTTAAATAGAACGGAAAAGATACATGGACATATGTAAACAAATTGCACTCTATATGATTAATGATGGGCATGTCAATCTAAATAATTATCGTAATTTACTTATAAATAGCGCTAGAAATCTACATTTCTTTACCTTTCTGTTTTATATATTCTCAAGGAAATGACTGTCGGTATGCATTAACTTATACTTGCCCTATTCAATAAAAATTCAAGAGAAGAAAATCCATCTGAGTATTTGAATAGTCTGTAAAACTAAGTCTAGTTTGCAGGACAGAAAGACCAAATATGAAATAAGAAGTCGGAAAAATTCTAAACCGACATCATTTATAATACTGAAATAAAACATAAATATTTTTGGGTATCTAGACAATTTTTTAGTCTGTCAGAATATAATTTATATCTAAAATACTATGGTTTTTTTTTTTTTTAAGAAAAATTGCCTAGCAAAAATACATATAATTTCAAGAAACTATGACTACATGTCTATTATTAAGCATGTCCTCACCTTTAATTTGCACATGGGTACTAATATTTTGACAGAAGGGAGACCGAGTATATACTATGTCAGCGACCTCAGGTGGATATGCTGAATATAGTACTGCGGCTTCTTCTGATACCAAACTTCTCCATAGTAACCTGACGTACGAGCAGGGCGCTGGTATTGGGGTTCCGTACTACACAGCATACAGGGCACTAATGATCGTGTTAGTTTATGTGAAGTTGCTTTGAAATAATTTATATTATAACTTAATGAAGCTAATAAATATTCTATGTGGAAATAATTTATATTCATGTATGTACGACAAATTACATTTATTTTATGATACATATCCATATGCTTTGAATATCGAATATTAAAGTACTATTGTCACCGAAAGTTCCACGGAAGTCTTTAGTAACTTTGTTAGTCATTTTGAGATGGAATATGAACGTACTCTTTGTTTTGACAGAGGAGGGGCTAAACCCGGAGAAACGGTCTTGATACATGGAGCCAGTGGTGCTGTACGTGTTATACCGCAATTAATTTTAATTCTCTCAAACTGAGTAAAAGTTTTAAGCTTTTCAGGAAAATATTTCTTTGTAAATGGACAAATTTACTTTAGTAAAGCATGGTTTAACGTCTTCGTCTGATACTTGCTTACCTTTAATCGTGGTTCGGATTACAGGTTGGCTTGGCTTGCGTGCAGATTGCACATTCTAGGGGTCTACGGGTTTTAGGAACAGCTGGGAGTCAGGCTGGCCTCGACTTGATAACAAAGAACGGATGTGACGCTGTTTTCTGCCACAGAGACGAAGGATATGCAACAAAAATCTTAGTAGAGAATTCGTCCTTTTGTTTTCCCAAATTTTGCTTTGAAATTCGTTCTTTTTTACTACCTGAAGCTTTCATGACCAATTACTATATAGAAAAAGAAAAGTTTTTAACTTAATGTATATTTTATACTATTTTTTAGGAAGCTACGAATAATACTGGCCCAAATATCATCATTGAGATGTTGGCAAATGTTAATCTGGAAAGGGATCTAACAATGATTGCAAAGAAAGGACGAATTGTGGTATTTTGAAAATTAATTCATTCAATATATATATTACACACGTGTATTAGTTATTTATGTACCAAGTATAAATTAGTTGCAAAATTTAGTTTCAAAACATAGATATCATCTTGATTGATGAAGCTGTTAACATTACTGATTTTATTTTACAAATTTCCCTGTAGGTGGTAGGTAACAGGGGATCTGTGGAGATCACTCCGCGGTTGGCTATGCAGAAAGAATGTATTGTTACGGGAATGCTTTTGTTTAACGCCTCACAGGTAAGGCAAAATTGGAAAATTCTCATAATAAAAAAAAAAAAAATTGGAAACTTTGCACTATTTAAGTACATATAGTGGAATTATAAACATTTGGGAAAAGAAGCAGAATAAAAAATAATATTATACTAGGAATCATTTTTCCGGAATTGTAAATGCAATGCCAAATTTGACTGTCCTTGAAAAAATAAAACTGTTTGAAAATAATTACATAAACAGGGTGAAATGGACGAGATTGATGCTGCAGTAGCTGCAGGAATGAGGGATGGATGGATAAAACCACACATAGGAAAAGTTTATACATTAGAGCAGGCACCAAATGCTCACGAAGACGTCATCAACAACAAGGGTGCTCAGGGACGGCTGATATTCAGAGTTTCTTCAGAGTGACTTGTGCAACCACTGTAACTCATCTTTATTATTATCCAAGAGTGTTTTATTATAAATTGATTTTATTGAAATAAAAGCATGTAATATTTTGTGAGTGGCTGTTATGTTGTGTGCTTAGCTCGATATTTTTTATCCAAGAATTCTAGCTCTCGCTTAGTGATTGGAAGGTTGGGGTTTAAACCCCGGCCGAACCTATGTTGATGAAATTAGGAAACAACAGTTCCTTCGCCAAGCGCTCGAAGTGAAAGTTTGAAGTGAAAGTTGCGGGACTTTTGCATGAAATCCTTAGAATCAATGTCTCGTGTCATGAAAGGCTTGGGACTTTCTTATGATCCTCCTATTTTAATTCTGATCATACACATATTTCACATTGCAATTTTCATTTGTAAAGGAATTGAGGAATAATATCTTGGTCACATTTAAGACGATGGTCCGCGATATTTTTTTTCTCTTATTGTCAGCAGAAAAATATGATCGGTCGACACTAGTATCGAGCGACACGGTGCAGTCACATTAATTCCAAGAATCACAAATAATTTTAAAACATCAAGAACTTTTAAGTCGGTTCACCATCACCAGATCATTGTTCGCTGAGCTGATATTTGATTTTCACCTTCGGCCGACATTAACGAAAACCTATTTTTTTTTAATGTTCACTTAATACACAGTCTGCCTAATGCCGGTCATAGATTTTCGAATGGTCGATGGACTTTTCAACGAATGTTTCAAATGAAGGAATCGGCCAGCGACGCAGAACACAAAATTGGTCAGCCGACGAAAAAAGATGTCAAACTCTGACAAGACAACGGATGATGAAATGCCGACTGGATTAAGGTCTATATATTTTTTTTTTGAAAAAAAAAATCCCTAATGTTTCTAGAGCTAGCAGGGGTGTTATTTGCAGATCAATACAAATATTGCTATTGTTAGTGTTACTACAGGTTTCTTTGGTGGAACCTTAACACATATTGAACAATTAGATTATACGTTGAAATGATACATAGTATTTTTTATTATTATGCATATAACACAATCAGTTTATCTTTAAAAGTAAGTTATTATATACGTGCTCAGAAATTTTCAAGAATGAAAATAATATCAGCACACATCATTAAAGCCACTGAATACTCGTACTCTTGTTATGAAGGTCTTAGATGCAAAATCGGTAAGCAAACTTTTTTTTGACAATGAACATTGTAATCTTTAAAAAATCTATATTTTGTTAAAAAAAAAAAAAGATTAACCCTAGGAAGGAATAAAATGCAAAAATGCCATTTTATAAATTTTGTTTCAAAAAAGTCAATTCATATCAAAAATAATATTCAAGGTACTGTGAAGTTTGATCTCTTTTGTTTCCTTTGTCCTTCAAGATCAAAATGAAACATAAGAAGGACTATAGATTGCTGGATGAAGTATTAGTGAAATTCAGAGACATATCATAAAGGAGAGGACTTTCCATGGTCTGTTTCTACACAAGAATGAGGGTAAGTCAGTCAGATGTTTACAATAAACATAAATATAATTTTGGTCTATATTAAACTGTGATTGCTGTCCACATTTCTAAGCCAAAATTCTCACATGTTGGTGTCTGAATTGGTATGGAAGTACACGTAGAGGGAAGTGTAAATAGACAAGTCATACAACTTTACAAGAAATAGTAGATTCATACATGTAAATACTCTTAAGTTTTCCTGTATGAGGATGCTTTCATCCTCGTTTATCTTTCATATTGCCTTGTTACTACATTTGATTTAGTCATTTGGAGAGAACAATTTATAAAAAGAACGTCAAAGAATTTTCTTACACCACATATTTAATTTCAAATGAAAATGAATAGCGTTTCGAATAAAAGACCAACTCGTTGCTAGTTTCTACTATTATTTATTGAATCCTTCATCTGAATACTGATCATCATACCGGTATATATCCAATATCACACATATTTGTATTCTTTTATTCCTACTTTCACTCTTTTACTTTGTGACAAAATTTTCCTTAAAACTCCATTTTTCCTTTTAATGCATTTTCATGTACATTATTTACTTATTCTTTTAACTTTTCCAAATTTGATGCGTAAAATCCCAAACAAGATCCTAGATTTTCTACTGAACTCATTTTCTTCTACATAGATTTAAATTAAAACAGTTTATACATACGTTTCTCTAGACTGATAAGACGTCAACGCAACAAGTACAACATAATTTTTTGCCTCTTTATATGATTTTAATGACCATTTTTTGAAATTTATAATTACTTAGTACCTACATGTACACACAGTCTTCCGACAATGACATGGTAAGAAAAAGACGGAACTACACACGTGAATTTTAATCCTGTCATTGTCAATCAAATCTTAAATGCCGTGCTATAATTTTAAAACAAATCTATAAACATATTTGGATTAGAGCTTACTGGATGCATTGACACTTCTTTGCATCAACCTTTATATTAACATTTTATGCAAAAGTTAAATTAAAAAACAGTGACATAAACTAATTACATGATATTTCACATGCACATATTTAAAACATACATTGTTGGAATTTTTTTTCAAATTTCAAGTTTAATTTGATAAACAATTAATTATTTAAGGTTATTACATGTCTTTGAAGAAAGCAAAGTGGACTCACAAAATTAGGATATTCACTACTACCTAAGCTTGGGATTGAATTCTCGACCTGTGTACTGTAGATTCCTAATTAAACGCGAGGAATTAATTTCCGCGTAATTTCGCGAGAAGCATCAATCTCGAAAAAATATTACTCGCTTTTATTTTTATAGTGCTGAAATCTATGTACAAGTTAATAAACCTCCATTCGCGTGCGATTTGACGTTTAAGAGCCAGTTCGCGATAAAAAGTACTCGCGAAAAATAAGGAATCTACAGTATCTCCTTAGAGTTCAGAAACAACATGTTAGACCGGTTGAGCAACTAGGCAAGTTACTAAACGTCCTTTGGATTCATTTAAAGTTGTGTATTGTATTCAATAAAATTCTCCGGTCTTTTTCATTTCACAATATACAACTTTGAATTCATCCTTCAAAAAAAAAAATAAAAATAAAAACAGGGAATAAACCTCCACTGTTCTTTTTTGTTTGTTTTTTTTTAAATAAGAATTATATTATTACATGTACATGTAATTCCATTAATTTTGATATAAATTTTGGTCAATCCACGTGCATGGCTGAATATCTAGATGTAGATTTCCTTGCAATGATTACTTTGAATTTCCCAGAAGAACTCAATCTGGTTCAAGCATACAAGGGCTGAAAATTTCTTTTATGCATAAACATAAATGATAAAGATGATATCTCACTTTCTCCGAAAGTTTTGTAAAGAAAAAAAAACTTTTAAGCCGTTGATCACCAATACAACTGAAAAATGTATAGGTGCAAATAAAAGGACAATGTTAGCACATGCATTTCTTCGCAATTCACTTTTTTCTTGAGGACTTTTTTTTTATTTTTGAGGGAAAAGTTCAACTTCTTTAAATAGAGAAATAATGCTAAAATGATGTGCTAAAATAGTAAAAAAAAAAAAAACCTTGACAAAGTTTTCGTCGGATTTCAGTTTTTACTACGTAGATTTAAATGAGTTGCATACACCAACTATGACTGATATGACGTCAAAACAGTAGGTATGTTCAAATCAGTTTTTGCATTTTATTTGATTTTAATGAACATTATTGAAATTTATGGTTATTAGCACATTGTCTTCCGACAATAATGCAACAGTATTTCGCCTGCTTAAAAATTAGGATTTTTTTTTATCTTGTCCATCAAATCTTAGATGATGTGCTATTATTTAAAATAAAATTATTTTTATTGCGCACTGGATGAATCTAAACGTCTTTGTGGTATATCTTGCACAAACTTTAATTTGCAAAAGTTTAATTAGAACACAATGACATACACGAATGTATGAAATTTTTACACATATATTTAAAATATTTCTATTTAAAATAATTTTTTACATTTAAAATAAAATGAAAATATATTTAAAATAATTTTGCACTATCTTTAAGTGCCAAACATATATTTTTTTTTTGGTTTTTGACATTTATTATTAACTGTCCTATATAGAAAGCAAAGATAAATCCACAGTATGATAATGCGCAATACCGCCGTTGCCCGTCACAACTGCCATGATCCCTAAGTATTGATCAGGTACACAGAGAATTCCGTAGTCAAATTCAGTATATAAAACAAAGACCTAACAATTGGTATGAAACAAGTCAGCCAAAACACCACCCAATGTTAGGTTGTATTTGCTAACAATGTCCGTAAGCTTACAGAAGCAAAAAAACTAAAAATTCAAACACAACCTATTGCTAGATTGTATATGTTTCATACCCATTGTTACGTCATGGTTTGATTTTAGCCAGTTTTGATCCCACCTCTGATGTTTTGGGGTCCGTGATTGCTCTGCTCCTATTCTGTATTGTTTTATGGACTTTGGATCTTGAATACTGTTTGTTATCTCCATATGTTTCATCCTTACCTTCGTCATCTTCAAAAACAGGAAAAGCTCAATCATTGAAGTCTTTTGGGTATCGGTATTTGAGTATGGTAGTAAACGCCTGAAAGCACCTTTCTCAACGTTGCATTCATTAGACTACATGTACATCTTTCCAAAATAATTATTCTATACTTAAATAAATATAACTTCTGATGCAGTAATATAATATTACCGCATTCAGAAAAGAAAATATTCATGGCAAAATTAAGTGGATTTTTTTGTATATACATTCATATACATTCATTTTAGAATGAAGTTGAGTTCGAGCCACTTTTAGAATAGTTTAGCTACAATCGAGAGACACTTTATTTTAAGAAATTATATTTTAGCAACCCTTTTTTTGTAGAGACCGTACTATTTTTATAATTTCATTTTGAAATAAAGGAGATATATTCCGTGTCCCCAAAAGGAAAGAGATACACATGTATAAAGGGATTTACAGGAATTACAATTAGTTATCTTAATAAATTGTCTCTTTATTTCATGCTTGTTTGCTTAGCAATCAGTATAAGTGACCATAAAGAGTAAATTATTTGTCAATTAACTTCTGCAAAGATTTTTCAGGAGGCAAAACATTAACAAGAAGTATTTTATTAATTCTCAATTTCTATTTTTATCAGATTTACGACACAAGCTCAGTTAGAGAGGAACGCTTCCCAAATTTAGACAATTTACCTGAACTTATTTAATTTCCGCATTTGTCATAATTATCAATTAAAAAATAATGATTAATTGTTTTTTTTTACGGTAAAACAAAAGATGGAGGGTCGGGCCGGCTACCGCAGCTCTTTCGGTCTTCTCTCAACGCACGTGTTCGTTATTTAATTTGAAAGGAAACAAATCTTCACAAAGACAACTGTCAAATGAACAACGTCACGGAAATGATAGATCGAGAGGTAATGCAGGTGAATTATTAGACGACAGTCCCTAGGAGAGACAACACAAGACACAAACTAAAGGGATATAAACAGGACTACGAAAAGTACTTTAAAGGGAGACAACTAGACAATTACGGAAAAATAATAAGGTGAGAAATAATTTTAATTTTTAAATATGATGAAAAATTTTCCAAAAAGAGATTTTAGTGAAGTATGTTTTTTGCAATTTACAACGAAATGCTGACAGTATTGTGTAAACATGCCTTTAAGCTCTTTCGAAAGTTGATTGATAAATCTGCATTGCTTGATTAATTACAAGATACGAATATTTCAATTTAAGGAAAAAATCGAGAAAAATATCATAGCTTTGATTAGAAGGCCTCAAAGGAACAACAAGGCATGTTTACATCTCCACTGTGCAGAATTTCCAATGGTTATGTTTAACTCGTGTAATTTCTTACTACGAGGAGACAGTAAAGGAAAAACGACATATTTAGCTGTTTCACTTGGCACCTGCGGATATATGTCAGAAACAAAGCTCGTTTGTAAAGTTCAAGATGAAAAAGCTGACTTTTTTTTTTAACCATTTCTCAGAACAAGTGCGCACATGATAATGTGTCATACATGACGGGTCTTCGATGGCAGGATAATTAAGAAAGTTAATTAGGATGGACAAGTTTACAATTCTTTACATTTCTTGATAGCATGTTAAAATGATATATGTGCGCTTTCTATTCGAGCTGTATTATATTAGTTGGTGTATATATTGTCTTCGAAACACTTTTACGTACCAATTTTCATCACAACTAAAAACTTATTATGACTCTATTAATTCATTGTGAAATTGAATTGTTTTAATTTTCCTCTTAAATCTGAGCTTAATATTTGCTTTCATGTACAGCATATAAACTATAGTATGTACAATCAAAAAAAAAAAGATGGGACAAAAAAGTTAAATTTTACGCAATCGAACGCAAATGATCTTAAAATCTGCCAAAATTGAATTGATTCTTATTCGCCTCATTTGACAGATCATCTTTATTAAACCCATTGCCCCATATATGCCCTTACACTCCCAATAAAAATCAATTGCATTACAATTCTAAGTAGTCCATATCCATAAAAAACTTTAATATTCCTTGACAAATACCCTTCTTTGTACAAATATATTGTCTTTATTATAAATTCTTGAAATAATAGCTCTTTGATCTTTTATATTAATACATTTAGAATTTTTACGATTATTTATTAACAGTTTATGACCTGTAATCAACTAAATGCTAATTATCTATTAAAAATCTCGCCTGATTTACGTGCAGAGAATGTCAATTATGAATAATTTAAACAGATCGTAGATTATTGATAAAACTTCATTGAATATGAAGTACGAAAAAAAAATCATAAAATGCCCTCAGGCAGGAAAAGAAACAGATGAATGCGATGTTAATCATGATGATTTCTAACGATAAAAAGAGCTATGAAACCCCTTGTTATAATTTTGATTTGGTATAAAAAACATAAAACATATGTTTGAAAAAAATATTACTTAAAGATGTCCTGACCACAAAGGCTATATTATTAATTATTATCAGATCAATTGACCACGTACAGATAATAATATACAGTATAATTATGTAGTTAATGATTAATTAACACCAGGTTTAATGTCAGTTAGAAGAACATATCGATATCCTTACGTATAAGAAGTAACCATATTTACACACCAATGTCTTTCTAATAAAGAACATACATTTATGGGAAAGCCCTAAATGTTTATTTTAATCAGAAAAGAAGGTGTGATGATAAATGGACCAAATTTGCCAAATCATTGTCTCTTGTAAGAACATCGTCTACAGATTGTAATGAAAACACTTAATGAGATGCTACATCATTAATCAGAATAAAAAATGAATGATTTTGAGGGAAATTTTTCTCATAATTATATTCTTGTACAAATTATTGTTAATGACGGTTTTTTATTAATAGCTAAGCACGACCTAGCATTGTGTAAACAGTCATTCCTCTCTCTAAAACTAAAATACAGTATTGAACGACCACAGAAAGCAGTATCTTTAATTTAAAATTTTATCATTCTTATCAAATAATGATAATTTCTTTACTTATTTTTACATTTACATTGAAGAGACTCATAGATACCAGCTGCTGGCAATAGTTAGTCTGACATTTCAGTGGATAATTGCATAATACCTAGCACAATAGTTATTTCGTAAACCAACTCCCTTTTCGTTTCAGCATAACATTTATATTTAAAATTCTTATCTTGCTTAAAAAATAACTTTTAAAAATTACATTACGCAAGCATGACAAGAAATCTAATGTGACAAACCAATTTGTTAATTGAAATCACGAGATATAATTATGCTTTTATAATTCGACGTTTCCTTGTTACTCAGAATGTTTTCATTTGATTTATCTTCGTGTCATTGCAATGAAGGCTTTATTTTTGCACCTTTTCCCCTTCAGTTTCCAAGTTGGTTCATCAGACTCGTTGCATATCCGGTTCACCTTTAAAAGAAAAAATAGCATATATCAGAATTCAATCAAACCATTCACACATATCTATTTTTATGAAAGAATTATTATTCTAGCATGTATTCAGTGAAGTAGAAACATTGATAAAACGCCTAAGACATTTCAATGACGATAAATCATTAAAAAAGAATAATTCATTTCATCAATAAATCATTAATTTCTACACATTGGTCGACAATTTGTTAAAAAGATAATCATCCGTCTTAACATCACGACGTGCAGATTTGAAAATGTAAACTTTTTTTTTAAGGCAGTGCAAAAATTCTAGAGGTTACTAAGTTCATGCAAAAACCAACAGAAATGTATTTATATGTATTTCGATACTAATATATATATATATATATATATATATATATATATATATATATATATATATATATATATATATATATATATATATGGACCAAATATTTTTTTCATTCTTTCAAAAATGTATTTTTAATTCATTTTTATAGAAAAAGAAATAATCCTGTTTACTCCTTGTTTCTATTATGACCAAAGAGTTTCATTTTAAATTGTCATTAAATAAACATTGAGGGGTTTTGTTTTCTGCTTCCGTTAAAACTTTTCATATTATGCAACTGACTCATTTCAGAGAGCCTTGACAAATTCATTTTTTGGGTTCCCTTATTTATTACAAAACTTTCAACACTTGAATGTAGTGTCAATACAACAAATTTCGGATATTGTGTACAGAAAAGTGTAAGTTTTGCCATTTTTTCCCCTTTAATTCACAACATATTTTTATGATTTATCGTTTTCGTGGTTACACCAGTGCCGTATTTTTAATGTTTAACTTTAATAGATAGATTTAATGCCAAATAATATCATCTTCTAGTTTACATAATTTTACTAAAGAATTTTTTTAAATCGAATATTATTACCCAACACTAGAACATTAAGATAAACATTCAAGAATTTCAGACAATAATAAATCTTGCTGCGACCCAAATTAACATCACTGATGTGTTAGGTAATATATCTCAAATATAATGAATGATGTTTATTGAGGTATAAAGTAAAAAATGAAACCTTAACTTAAAAAATTCAGAAAGCGCGACTTGTCTAATACTCTTTAACCTTGAACAATTCTTGTTTTTGAAATCTTAAATGTTGCATGCATTCTTTGTATTTTTTCAACTGTTTACTATATATTTGCTCTTGTAATTCAATATTGCCATATATTTCTGTGGAGGCATAGAGTAAGTAATGAAGATTGGGAAAAAATACTAATGAATTGATTTGTAATGAAACATGATTTTATTGTTTATTTGAAAAGTTGTCTAGAAATGCATTTTTATCTTTGAAACTTTGTTAATTTTAAAAATTTTGATCAATTAAGGTGATAGCTTTGTAAATTTTAAGAACTTGCTATTGAATATTTTTATGGTTTTATTACAATGTACATGCTTTAGTCACATAAATGTTATAACACAAATCTTCATATGAGTAAACTATTCATATCAATTAGCGACTTTTTTGTGCAATTTTAAAAATGCTTATTTTATTTTCAGAAACACACGAAACAAAAACAAGGAACAAAAGCTGTCTCATAAATTCCAAAGAATACAGAAATGTCCCTACGTATATTCCTAGGATTTTTAGTATTTATTCCATTTTCTCAAGGTAACCTACCTTTGTTGATATACGTCTTGAATTATGCTTATATTTCAGTTAAATATGCTTGGAATACAAAATTATATCTCCTCCAGTGTCAAGTATTCCTACCCTCACTTTTCTAAAATTACTCTCCCAAATTCACCTACAGAAATTATTTATATATATATATATATATATATATATATATATATATATATATATATATATAAAATACCGATTTTATACCATAACTCATGACCGAACTATTGTGATCCTAAAAAAGGCAGGATTTATGAATCTCTTTAAACTTATAAAATGTTTAAGGATTTAAAACAATATCGTATAAAGGTGGTTTCTTTTTTTTAAGCAGTCTTCCATTCTGTCTGAATATATTCATTTATTTGCGTCATATTTCATATGCATCATAACTCCATCATTTAAACTTTATTTTAATTAATTTTTTTTATCTGTGTCAGTTAATTAAAGCTGAAAAATCAAGTTCTTCAATGCTTTCAAAACTCTTTTCAGTTTAATCAGTTTTAAACAATATTTTAAATTCTTTTCATTTTAATCAATTTATCTAAAGACAGATCACTCTAACAGCATCAAAATTATGTGAAACCAAAATATTCATTGAGGAAGTAAAGTAGGGTACTTAAAAGATTCAGGTCGTTTAACAATTGATAGATTTCGAACACAGATTAACGACCAGTAAAAGAGAATGTATCGTAAATCAAACAGAGTTGAGTAGGAATACAGTTTAAAGATGTTGCCATCAACACTAAGAGCATAACTGAATAACAGATGTAATCAATATATGTCATTTATTATAAACATGAATTTAATTTAATGTTCATTTTTTTTTTAAAAATCAACTGTGATCCTGTAATTCTTATAACTTATCTCTTTAAATTATTTTTAAAATCAGGACAATGGCAAACCGGTGGTGGGACCGGTACAGCAGGAGGAGGTGGTGGAGGCGGGGGCCAGGACGTCCTTAACGGCCAATCAGCGCCGGTTCAGAGGCCCAGCTTAAGACAACAGCAGCAACAACAACAAATTCCTGGGTTCCCCCAACAGACAGGGGGGCTCCCCCAACAACTACAACAGGCAAGGGGGTTCCCACAACAACTACAACAGGCAGGGGGGTTCCCACAACAACTACCTGGTCTCCAAACACTACCCCAACAAAACAACTTTTTAGGTGAGAGAGGACAAATGTTGCTTCTGACCAATGGAGCTGCAAGTATCATGATAGCTAATAGGGATCGCCTCCCCCGGGAAAGAATCCGGAGGGTAGGGGTCCCCGTGTCTCTTATTCGTGCTTTTGCTATTCAGCCTGAGGTTTTGCTTCCACGCTCGCTTACAGCTAATGCACGGCCTACTAATCAACCACGAGCAACGACAAGAGGTACGTATTTTCTAAAGGTATATTGAAGTCTTCTAATAGCAGAGCTTTTTATTTAGCTGCCTGAATTTGATATACTATATGACATATACTCTTTATATTTTTATGTAACAAAGCTCTTTATACCTGTAATATGCATAGCTTGTTACTGTGGGTTGCTCTAATGCTTTGGTATTGTTACCCTTCACACTGCACGTAGTATAATTTAATAAAATCAATTACAAATAGATGCCATAGCACTCGCACTGTTCAAACATTCGACATTTTTATCACGTCACGAGGTTTTGGATGAAATCTGTAACTACCCATTTATTGCATTTATTCACATATTGAAGCGTATTAATATGAAATTTCTAATTTCTTCAACATAAAAAAATATTAATAATTTGAAAGTAGCCATCTCGCAAGAGCAATTATTTTTGTACGTTTTTAATATGTATATTTATTTGTTATATAATATCCAGGTGTATATTTTTGTTAACATAACAGCATGATCGTTGAGATAGCCTAGTTATTGATCCCTGCTTTCTCTGAAAGTTAGGGATATAAATTAGGGTCTATTTATTTGTCCGTCTGTCTGTCATTCTGTCTGTGTAACACTTTCAGTTCCAGACGATATCTCATAAACTCCTTTGTGCTTTTGCAATGAAATTACATATCAGAACTTCCTATGGTCTAAAAAAAAGTCTCCTTTTAATATTGATTTAAAAAAGTCAATGTTCAGTGACAGAAATTCAAATACTTTTTGGCAAGAACGCTTTCCAGATAAAAACTTTAGTTTTCTTCGAGAATTTTCAATTAAGTTTTATCTAATAGTTTCTTGTGACCTTAAAGAAACGATTTAGATTTTTTGATTCAAAAGATCAAGGTAAAAAAAAATGTATCTTGCATAAAATGCTTTCCTGGTAATAATTAGTTCTTCAGTGGTTTAGCATTGAAAAGTTATGCATCTAGTATTTAAATTTCTTTGATTAGCTTGCGTTTGGTAAGTTTATTACCCTTTTCTTTTGAAAATATAAATACAACAATAAAATTGAAAAAAAAACCTGAAAACACCTTTCCACAGCTCATACTACTTTATGAGGTGAAAATTTCGGATTTGAATTTATATCTTTATGGAAAAGATTTAGGAATAAGCAAAGTGAATAAAAGTAAAAGTGCTGCGTTTGCTTTATATAAGAGAAAGATTTTACTTACAAGGATAAAACTCTGCTATTCATTTAACTGAAAGGTTACTGAAAGTCTACGGAACAGTGTCTGAAAGGCAATACTCAATTCAATCCCCTTCCCAGGCATTTCAGTGACCATTCAGTAATGACTAATAATGAGGTGTAGTTTTATCTTGTGTTCGTTTAATTAGCAAGTAATTAAAAATTGCATGTAAGTTGTTTATATGCTGAAAGGATGTTAACGTTTTACACTACATCAAAAATTATTTTTATGGATTTCAACTCAAATTTTTTTGTTTACAAACAATTTTACATGCTACGCGCTACTTGCTGCGCTCGCTTGTTAAATATAAATAAATCCAATTAAAACCATATTCTGAGAGCGGATCGAAGGATATGATTTTAATAAGATTAATGAATATAAGTTTATTAGGTTTTGATTTGTTGATGGTGTGTAAAGCTCGCTGCGCTTGCTCCGACTATAACTATGCTTTGTTTAATTAAAACAGGAGGAGGAAACCCATTCCAAAGACCACCATTTTTCCCCCCACCTAGGGGACGTAAGTGTTATTTGATACTTTAGTTCATCAACACTAGTTAGGAAAAAGTATTGTTAAAAGTATTCAGTAATGTGTTTAAATTTGGCAAACCAATATTTTTTTTAAAAATTCATTTTTATGTATGTTCTGTAATTTTTTGTTAAGAAAGGTCAAATTAACTTTTTTAGCATACTTTAAATATGGAAAAAAAATTAAATGAAATAATAAATATATCAGGTATCTTTTATCTTATTTATTAAGCATTCCGCCCATTCGGACAACCTGGACAGGTTCCATTTTTACCATTTAGAGGTATGAACGATCGTCTTTCCCCCTTCATTTTCAGAGACCATTTTATTAATTTAAGTGATAAATAAGTTAATCAATTGATAGACATTCAGACATTGAATAGAAAAGTAAGTTCATCTTTACTTAAAACAATTCTTATCTTTCACAGGAGGCTTTCCTCCGTTTTCTCCCTTCCAAGGTATTTCAGATCACAGGAGCACCTTGATAGCACCATATACTACATATATATAGTCATTTCCTTACCTTGTGTTTTATATGTAGTGTTATTGATGCTTTAGTACGAGTCTTAAAGAATATACTGTAATGATTCTTAGACAGAATGGGGTATCTACTTGGTATACATAACAGTGTACTGCATTGAGATTTAACTTCGTTGTTGTGTAATTTCAACTATTTTCCATAAGATACCTAATTTAGGATATCTAATGTATTAATATCAACTTTGTTTTGAAATATATTTATGAAAAATTTTAAACAAAAATGAACTATTTCCTGTTTTTAATGCAAATAAAAAGCAAAAATAAACACTGCGAGTAATTCTCTTTGCATTCACTACGCCCTTAAAGCTCTTATATATACTGGTGGTGTCAATAAATAACACATATAAACGGTTAATTCGAAACAATCAATTTTTTGTAATCAAAATGCTTGTAACAATTTTTTCTCCACTTGTTAAACGGTACACTTGTACTGTAGTTAGAAAACAGATGTTTATTGATGCATGTTAACGCATATAGATATGAATTGTATAATCTAGCTAAGAATCATTATTAGAAATGCATATATGCATATAAATAGAAAACACAGAGATGAAGATAAAAATGTCTTGACAGTCTTCTTTTGACATCTCAAGTCAATACATGTATAACTTATTGCACTTTGAATTTTTGAAAGCTTTATATTCTAGAGAACAAATATAGCTGAGTAATGCATTTTTACAATTTTTTTTCTTCAGATGTAACATTTAAGTATGCAAAATAAGAGCAACATTTTTATCAGTTGACATATAAAACATATCCTCGACCTACGAAATGCTATTAGTTATTGTCATCCATATGGAAACATCTACACGCTGTATAAAGTATAAAATGCACTTAATAAGTAAAATGCACTTCGACTTGAGGTGTCTATTATTTTTTGAATGTTTTATAAATAAAGGTGAACCGTGCGATAAAGTCAATATTGCCTAAATTAACTATATACCCAAATTTCTTTTGTTTTCAGGCAGACCCCCATTCCTCCCTCCATTTAATGGTAAGCAAAATCTGTATGAAGCATGAAGATATGATTTTATGGAAAAAAAATACAAATAGCATGTAAATTAAAGACAAATGATGATTTCTTTTTGAAAAATATTACTGAGTTGTAATTCATGGATATCATGATTATGTCTTAAAATACTTGTGTTTGATAATAATTTTTTTTCATTAGAAATAAGTTTAAAAATTACCGTGAATTTTTGATGCAGAACTTTTATTCGTGTCATTTTTCAACATATACTTCCTCTTATTCTAATCTAAATTTTCTAAATAATATATGTGAACATTAAATTTCATATAAACCGTATTTGTATGAAAGCCTATGTCAGGAGATTTTTATAATTTAAATTTCAGGAAGGCCAGGGTTTCCTGGAGCTTTTCCAGGTAAGAGGGTTATTTTTGATTTTCATAACTTTAAATGCCAATTTGAAAAAAAAATCTAAATAGAATGCCCATTTATACTGAAACCTAGCTCTTATGAATTGAATTTTTTGGTATAAATTTTAATATTTTTACAGGACAACAATTCCAGTTCGGACGACCACAACTTTTAAATGGTGCTGGAGGTACGAATTTCTCAAAAACCACATTTCTGATGTATGATTTAAAAAAAACCACTCACAAATTATTTTATCAAATGTATTACTATCTTTAAAACATACACTATGGATAATAAAAACTCTTGCATACAATTTTAAGTGCAACATGACAATTGATAATCAAATTAGTAAATAGATAAAAATTAAAACCAAATTTTTAAAAAAATATATGATTTATCGTATGGACAAAAAGGAAATGGATGAGATCAAGTGTATTAACAAAACTTCTACAAAAAGGTTCTCAGAGAAAGAATGATAAACAATAGGATAGGTCAATTGTGTTTATGGGAAGAATTATGTATAATATTTACAAAGATAGCTATTTATTCTCTGAAACGAATGTTTGAATTATCTGCCTATATATGGCTGAAGTACAAATGTAGTACCAGTGTGGCTTAAATCAGATATTCAAACAATTCATTTACTTATAGAATGTAACACTAATTAATTGTAATACTAATTAAAATATCAACTTTGTAGGAGGACAGGGAGCACAAGGACAAGATGGGCAGGGTAAGACTATAAAAATTAAATTTTATTCTTTGATTTTTTTAATTAATACATTTTTGACAATTTAATTACGAAACTGCACATTAATCAGTCATTTATTACTTAATTTTTCTAGCGTTTAATTCCATATCTCCGTTTTCACCCCCAATAGGTATGAATATTCATATGAATATACACGGATTCAGTGTACTTTATCACTTTTGTATTTAGTACTTTCACCTGTTATTCAGCACGTAAATATCCCTGTACGCATACGTACATAAAATGCTTCTTTTATTTTATAGAATGACCACTACAATTTTTTTCTTTTAAGGATCCATTTTAAAACATAAATCTTGAATAACAAAATTGATACTGCTATGTTGATATCAGAAATTTTGGGGAAAATTTTTTAAAAAGAGTGTTATTTATTACGAACAAGCAGCAATAATGATAGGGTGCATCATTCGTAAAGCAAATTTTACTTAACAGGAATCAAAATCTTATTTTTTTTTTAATTCCCAACAATGAGTTAGTGTTCATTAATTTATATCACAATGTAATGCATTCGTAATGAAAAACTATGAATCCTCGAAACAAAACATGCATAACATGGTGAAATGTAAAATTAACAGAGAAAAAAAATGATGTGTAAGGAATATATTGCATTGTATCATTATTCCCATATTTAAAAAAATCAATTGATTGCACTTTAGGTGGTGGTTGCAATTTATATGTTACCAAAAGATACCCAGCACATTTTATCAAAAGTTTGGAACATATGTATCTACAATTCTGTCTATCAGTTTACTTAAGAAAGAAAATTAGTTATATGATATTTTGTGTTAGGGTTACATATAACAGATGGAGTGTATTAGTATGTTAATTTTTTTCAATAATATCTATTAACTGCTTCTTGTTTATTTGAACCAGGCACACAAGGACAGTTCCAAGGAAACGGTAAGTTACTAGTGCACTTTATTTCATACATGCAATATTTCTATCAGTATAGTGTTCGCTTTTCGACGTCTATTAAACTGTTTTTATGCTTTCCAAAGTCACATTTAACTGCAGGGGGCTACCTCCCCATTTCTATGTGCCCCCTGTTCCAACAGAGTCTGCTTTTATGGTCTCTCTTCTCATTCTTAATGACATACAGTTTACGGTTACTAAAATTTAAGGTCTTTTTACGGTGTTGTATGCAACTGCAACATTCGAGAGAGGAGATATATGATTGTATTGATGATTGAAAAATTCCAACAAATGACAATGAGCTTTCAAAGCAATTTATATGCTATTCTAGCTCAACAGCAAAGGAATTTTCCTCAGTTTAATCAAGGTACAATGCACCTGCTAATCTTTGAATATACATATGTGTTTGCCGTAAATTCCTTTGAAGTTGCTTGTTTCGTTAATTTCTGTCTCAGGTTATTAATGAGAGAAAATGCACTTGGATGGTATTGACAGGGTTAAAATACTAAAATATTTTTACATATATGTGAAAGTAATTGTTATAAAAAAGTCATCATTACACTTTACAGAAATAACAGTATCATAACTTTTATTGGTGATCGAAATCGTCATTTGTGAATCATATGAGTTATTCATTTCAACGACTAATGTTAAGATCAAACAACTTGGGTTTTTGAGGATAGAATGATATTTCTTTTTGTCTGTCTGCCTGTTGTTAATTTTTTTACTGAAATTCTCAATGAGTATTGTAAAAGAACAAAAATTTCCCTGTCTGATTGCACGTTGCAAAATGCTGCTTACATTTTCAAAGACAGGGCATATTAAAGAAAACATTATAACAAAAAGTCTTATTAATCTTTTCCGAATTTTCCAAATTTCAAGGAAACCTTCCACAGTTTAACCAAGGTACAGAGCACCTGCTGCAAATCATTGTTTACATTTACATTTATGTGCTAAAATAATTGTGAAAATGCTTGTGTTGGGTATTGTTCAGATGATTGTTACTGTTTTTTCGGCAGGACTGTTGTTGGTAAAGTCACACCAATATAAGTGCTTTTAAAAAATAAAAAAAAATTATATAATGTAAATGTCAGAATGCTTTAAAACTTTTTTCAAGGGTTACTTCTAACATTTACTTCACCATTTCAAATAATCATATTTTATCACAATTTATCAAATGAATATGAAGTCAATTGACTAGTTTAGAAAAGTAGTAATTTATTAAAATCTAAATCATACAGTTTAAAGATGCTCCTAACGGTACAATGAACCGTAGGATAATAAATTGTAGCTGCAAGAATACCGATGAAATCTAAATTGTTAGATGTATATTACAATTATCGAAGAACAACACAATTTCAAGAAATTCGAAATGACATAACGATTTTTAGTCAAAACTAATCATCATTGTGATTCAAATTATTTCAATACAAATGCTTCTTTTGTAACAGAAAGACAAAATTCGCAACAAAATACAATATGTTATCAGAAAGTACCTATGTGTAATTGACAAAAATACAGTTCATAATCACAGTTAACTATTACTGCTCAAACAAAACTTTTTATGAAAATTTATATATTTGATACTTTAGCTCAACAACAAGGAAACTTCGCTCCATTTGGTCAAGGTACGATGCACACAATAATCAAAACAATTCCTTAATTTTTTTAGGGGGGGTGTATTCTATCTCAAATTTTCGACAAAAAGGAGTTGCTATTCAACAAAAGTTTAAAAAAATTACCTTTTAATCAAGCAAAAATGATTTGATATTCTAGCTCAACAACAAGGAAACTTTCCTCCCTTTGGTCAAGGTACGAAACACACACAAATCAAAACAATTTCTTGATTTTTGAAGGAAACAAATGTATTGTTAATCCTATCTTAAATTTTCGACAAAAAGGAGCTTCTATTCGATAGAAGTTTCTTAAGTATATATAATTTGATAATATTCAAGGTACGAAGCACACACTAATCAAAACAATTTCTTAATTTTTCAACTTAAGTATATATAATTTGATATTCTAGCTCAACAACAAGGAAACTTTCCTCCTTTTGGTCAAGGTACGATGCACTTACTAAACTATGCATACATGTAATGTCGAAATTTCGTTGGATATAGGCCTATTCGTTTTGCTTATTTCTGTTTCACATTATTAGCAAAATCAGGAAGCTTTCATTCGAAAAAAGAAAATATTTGGAATTTAAATATAATTGACCTACTTTTAATTACATGTACTGGTACATTTAAAGTCAACGTTCAACAGTTCTTACATGTGTGTGCAGCTTAAGCGCTTAGATATTTTGTATCTAAAATTTATCATTTACAAATTAAAAAAATTTCTTCAATATTGATTAAAACAGTCCATATAAGCACTGATTTTTAAAAATAAAATATTGGCATAGGAGTGCTTCAGAGCAGATCGGCTTCTTAATGAAATATGGTTAAGGTTGTGATCTTAACTTCAAATAAATTTTCATTTTGTAGTACTAATGAACCAATGGGGGTGGGGGTGGGGAATCTTTAAAGAACGTTTTATATTTCTAGAGGATCATTATTAAAAATATTTGATTATCCACATATTGTTTGATCAACAGCTACAAAATTATATTTTAAAATTTGAAGACGTTTGCCGTCCCTTATTTATCATATTTACCAATGTTCAACAGATAATTAGTACTTAAATCATCTGAATTTTCCTCAAGTTTTAAGGCGCAACATGCAACAATGTATTTTGGTTAACATAACCAGAAAAGCTTCTTTTTAAAATCTTAACATATGAAACAAAAGCATTTGAGATCAATATTTTTTTCAGTCAGAAATATTTTTATCACCCCCCCCCAAAAAAAAAAAAAACTTAAAAAATAACTCATTAGCATTCAAACTCTGCTGTAAAAGTATTTATGATTTTTTTTGAAAATATTTTCAATGTATTAAAAATAATGATTTGTATTTTAGCTCAACAACAAGGAAACTTTGCTCAGTTTAATCCAGGTACAATGCACCTGCGATCAATGTGTATAATTTAAATGTCAATGTATGTGCCCAAATACCCGAGTATTTTCTGCTATGTTTTGTCAGTATGTCTTATTTTAAACCAAATTTGAATGATTTCACAGCTTATCACAGAGTTGTTATGTATGTTTTCTGCTGTTTTCTAGACAAAAAGCTCATCAATGTTTATAAGATAAAAAAAAATTATTGTCTTCGATGTTCATGGTCTGGATTTCTGTTGATTTTATTTCCTTTATATATTCAAAAACAAAAAAGTATGTTTTCTTTTACAAGAAGATTTATTTAAAAATATTTATTCATGGATGTAACCTGTACACAAAATCATTTTTGAAAATAATTACATGTAACCATGCAAGCAAACTTTTCCATAAACATCATATAAACGATTACTCTTTACTTTAAATAATTTACTTTGCTCAGTGTCAGTAGTTAAAAAAAATAATAAACTGCAATTCTAGCTCAACAACAAGGAACTCCCCAGTTTAATCAAGGTAAAATGCACCTGCTTATCAATGTCGAAGTGGTATGCCAAGATTTCTGTCAAAATGCTTATATTGTTAGTGTTTGTGAAATTTTATTTACTTTGATTTATATTCAGAGATAGATTTTTCGCCGACTTTTAGACCGAATACTTACTAATGCTTAATGAGGCTGGGGGTCAACAAATTAACCATCAGATGTAAGTCTTTGTTTTGGATATGATATTTTAAACTGTCAACTATCATTTGACAAAGAAAAAAAATCGTACATGTTTGTTTTAAATTTTTTTAAAAAACCTTTTTGTGTAGAGCTCTTCTTCTAAAGAGCATATATTCTACGGCTTCAACAATCAGCCCTCTTAATGCAAATAAAAATGTCTTTGTGTAATTAAATAATTTTAAATTTGTAGAATGCTTCTCAACATAGGATTAACTCAGTTTCTTTTAAGGAGAAAATCAGTAACTTCATCATCTTTGTTTGACCATATTCTCCCTACGTTTTTAGTATACATAACGAATACACGTGTTGTTAAAATGCATAGTATCTTCTTTTGTTCATACACGTAACCTTTTAAAGAATTTATTTGAGTACCTATGTCTGTTTTTGGGGAAATTGATAACTTAATGAATTGTTATGTAGTAACATTTATGATAAATATTATACAATTATTGCTGTCTTTTGAGGTCAATACAATGATTTAGCCATCTGAGGAGTACAATATTCACCGAGCCAGAAGGGCGAGGTGAATATTGTACTTCGAAGATGGCTATGTCATTGTATTGTCCGAAAAAACAGCAATAATTGTTTTATTGTATGATTCACTTATAAAATGATACACCTCATTACTTGTTTGCATTTAATTAAGTCTTAGCCAAATACAAGAGAGAAGCAGACTTAAAATGTAAATAAACCTTAACAGTCGTATCAATTTGAAATGTTTTTTTATCAATTTCAGTTACCTTGAAAAACAATTTTTAATGTCAGTCTTTTTTGTAGTATAGATTTTTAAAGAAAGAAGTATTATTAGGGAAAACTGACTGCCAAAAAGTAAAAATTGTTGTTCAGTAAAAGTGTTGGAGGGGGGGGGGGGGTCCTGCATCCCATCTTACTACCCTAACCCGAAAAAATATATTCGCTTATGTTTTGTTCACATTTTAAAAAAAAAAAAGTCATAGTCGTTTAAATAGCTTTCCAAAACAATTTGTATCAATTTGGAATTTCCCGATCTATTTTTAGATCAATGTAGAGGAAATAAATCCTTGTATTCACCTGGAACGTCACGTGCAGGTCAATACAACGTAGTATTTTTCTAACATAGTTGTATCTCGGCCAATCATATAATTATATAAATTATTTGAAGATAAATGATCTTTTAATAAAGGATACCCCTAGTCAACAACCTTTATGATTAAATAATAAATTAAACATTTCTATCGTGACTTTCCCTTATGTAGCATACATGTATGTAGACTCTTATTACTGATTCGATAATCAAGAACTTGCTCTAAATACAGACAATTTTGCATGCAAGCAAGCTAATGACAAACAAGTTTATAAAACAATAATTTTTAAAGGCTCATTTAAAATCATCCTTTTGCAAGTTCTTTGTTCAATATAATGGTCTTGTCAGCAAATTCAATATGTCATTGAGTCTGATGATGACTGACATTTGTTATACTAATTGTAAGGCCATTATTCACACTCTGATTTTTCTACGGATTTTCCCATTTTCTGGATCATGACAAGGTGCATAACGCTCTTGTGACCTGTCGACAGGGAGTGCTTACTCCTCTATAGCACAGGATCTGACCTTTACTGTTTTTAGAGGTCCGTGTTGGCTCTGTTCACGATTTGTTTTGTTTGAATGGACTTTGGAGCTTAATAATTCTTCGCTATCTCTATAAATCACTAATAGAATTTTGTATGTTTTTGTTTTGAGAGTTTCACTTCTGAAATTCCCAGGGTTGGTTTATTGTGCCTGCCCTCATTCACAGATTTGAAGATTGTGCATTTTTTAAACTCATCTATATTTTCATGCCATCTTGATTTCAATGTCAGTAATTGTTGTGTTGGCTTTCATTTATAATTGGATGGAATAAAAAAAAAACATTGAAAATGCATTTTTATGAGCATCCAAGTAATAAGTTAACATTGAAATGTATACTAAAATTGTATAATTTCCTTTTTTGTAGGTGCCCTTACAGGTCAAGGCCAAGGAGGATCCGGTAAGATTAAATAAAATTTTACAAAATGGAAAAGAAATTAATATCTTTTTTTATTTTAATTCATTAAACATTGATATAATTTCAAATATTTTTTCATAGCTTTTGATTCGGTTTCACCGTTTTCGTTTCCTACTGGTATGAACATTGAAATTCATGTTTAGATTTATGTATATTCTATAGCTAACCCTAAAAGTTATTTTCATATATATAATTGATACGTTCAAACGAAGTCCTTTTTGTTAAATTGAATGTTTATGAGATTGATTCATTTCAAAAGCAAATGTTAATCTGTAATTCTTTTTTTCTGATTTCAACACTTACCAAACATTTTTCAATTCGATTGAACGTATGGAATAAATACCATTGTGTTACTTTTAATAGACATAACTATTCTTATTCACATTTACACTCTTTGCAAAACCAGACATATATTTAACTTTTCTCATTTCAAAATATAAAATGTAAATATAAAATTGTACCTATATTTAAACGAATATCTTTTCATATTTTCAAAACTAAATAATGATATGATTTAATTTTGACCTTTTTTCTGTCACTTCAAAGCAAAATACCAGGCAATAGTTATTCTTGTGTGAGACAAGTTAACATACCCTTGTGAATGTCTAAGACCAGATGTTATAATATTATATTTTTCAATATCAGTGACAGGTGGACTTCTCAAATTTTGCACAAAACATTCACTCTCTAATCGGTGTTGCATGTCATTCTAAATTTTTTTTTATATTAGTAGTTGAAAAAATATGTATAATAACAATCATAATATTCTTTATGGTGTGTCTGTTTGTGTATCCTGGGTATTGCCTTGGCATATATTAGACCTTTCATATTATTAATATTTAAAGTATTTAAAGGACACAGATAAATAAAAAGTAAATAAAAATATAAATTCTGAATACTTAAAAATATGAATTATGCATTTATATTATGTTAATATTTTGATGGGGGAAAACTTTTAAAACTGATTAATGTCTTGAATAACGAACTTCATTTTGTAAAGAGTTCTATAATTTTGTGCATAAAATTTAACTTAACATTTCTTAATTTAAATCTTTGCCAGGAACAGGTACAACTGATGGTTCACAGCTCCAAACAAACGGTAAGTTTTATCTTATACAGTTTCACAATTATTGTTGAATCACTCATTTCGTGGGTAAAGTTTTCGTTTTGGAGAAAAAATTCTGGTTTGAGGGGATTAGATTTCTCGGTGTAAAATAAAAGTCACACTGCTGTTTAAAATTTTCAACATTTTTTTTTTGAAAAAATATATTGGATTTTTATTCCACAAAAACAACGAAAATTATAACCCACAAAAAAAAAATAGATTTCTCACAAGTTGAAGTTATCAAGTTAAAATCAAGTTGAAAAATTAATATTAGACTGTAGCATTTTTATGATTTAACATTATGTTGTCTCACAATAGCACAGAGAATTCAAGGTATCACGCACCTGCTATTTAAAATATAATGACAAATTATAGCAACTTAAATATATGTGTTTATATTGGATTACATTAAAAGCACTCTTTGAAAATTAATATGCAATGATAAGAGTACTGTTAATCATATAGAAGTTGTGTTGTGTGGATATAATTCATTTTGTCAGTGGTTTTAAATGAAATTTTGCTCGAAATTGAATCATTAGACTAAGTATATTTCTTTCATGAAAACAACAAAACCAATTATAAATTGCAAATTCAAAGAAAAGCAAATTTTTCGAAGGATATATTTAAAAATATTTCTTCGAAATGTAATCACTTTCATGAACTCATGTTCTATCATATTTTTTTCTTTTACATTTTTCCCTTTAAACTGAAAAGTTCCATTTTATAACGTTACTACTGATCGATTTCCTGATATATTTACAATAAATCCTTTTAAATTAGTAACATTGAAGGATAAGAACTAGAAACAACTGAATTTGGGTGCTTTATTTGACGAGAAAGTCAAAACACAATTAATCATTTTCAGTAGCTCTTCAAGGAACAGTCAATTTTTTGACTACAAAATTGAATTGATAAGATTTTTTCAAAACAAAACTCGTTGTCTACTTTATTATAGCCTTTTTGCAACAATTTCAACAACAGCAACAACAACAACAACAACAACAGCCCAACCAATTTAATCAATTGCAAGGTACCACTCACTCAAACAGAATCGGAAGCTTGGGAGATGTAATTGTCATGTTAATGTCATGCTAAGTCTGTAACTAACAAAAGTCAGTCTGGTGTTTCCGCTTCTCTAGTTTATATCCCCATTCATTCTGTTTATACTTAATAGCTAAAAGTTTTAAGAAAAAACTGTTTCATATAAAGAAACTTTTCCTACAATATATGAAAAGTTACAATGACATGGTGGTAGGGTGTTTGTTTCATGTTTGGGTTGTCAAGTTTTATTCTCAAAGCGTCAAAGCTAGGTTTCTCCTAGGTAGTGACGGTTCCTTCGCCAGACGCTCGACACTTTGAAGAGGAGATTGTGAATCTTTCGTATGAGTTCTTTAAAAAAAGAGGTCCTGCGTCAAGACAAGCACTGAGACGATATAGAACTCTCATAACTTTCTATATAAGTAAAAAAAAATATCTGGAATATGACGTAAAACAACATAAACTCTACAATATACACTGCACAATTTTACCTGTGATTTTTCTAAAATATGCCTCTTAAATCAAGAAAATGAAAAATGTAAAGTTATCAAACAATGGTCGATATAAAAAATGGAAACAGTACAAATTTGTAATAGGATGTTAAATATTGACCACCGGTAATTCCATAGATGGGCCCAAGAGTCTTTGAAGAGTAATCGAGTGGTCATTCTACCGTGAGTTCTAAATATTGGCCCTTTAGAAGAGAGAAAAATTAGAAGAGAGATGTAGAGACACTCCCTGCTTCTGTAGACGGAAATTGCAACGCATATGTACATATTTTTAATCCATAGTCATATTAGGTATTAAAACGCAAAAACTCGACAAGAAAATACAAATCTCTCTTGAAGTTTACAGTAAAAAGTTCTTTTGGAGAAAGAAATCAATAAGGTCTATTTTATTTAGCATACCCTCATGAAATTTTGTGTGTTTATGTCAACACTACAACTTTGTATAAAATGAAGTGTGAGTCGTTTAAAAAAAGATTTGCTGTAGACATTTTTGTCATGCAACTTGATGTTCACTATTTGAAAAAGGAAATCGCAATATAATGCTCGCTTTACTTACCAACATTTCAGATAATATTGTTTAAAATGAGCTTTATCGTACACATTTTCATCTGAATAAACCTCTGTTTTTGTGTGATGTGCAGAAATATTTTTTTCAACCTGTTATTCCAGGATATGTTATTTATTTTCTTTCTTGGGTTTCTTTTTTTAAATCACGTTTATTATTATTTTTTGCGTTATTATAATTAAGATATACGTAGCAATTAAAAAATGAAATGCAACTGTTAATCACATATAAATCTTTTAATTTTATTTTACAGGACGAGGATTACCACAAGGATTCAATGGTAATTATCTTCATTGTTCAGTTTTTTCTATTTTATTTATTAAAAAATTTATCAGCTACCTTCGATTGTTTCATATGGTGTTATATGTGCACTATACTGAACTCCACACCAAATTCAATATTTATGCTTTGGTTTACTAGGTAGTCCCTTTACAGAAGTATTTGATGGGTCAACAAACTTGGATTCTCTAGGTTTTCATCTTAAGCTTTTTTCTTGTGATTCTGGTTTACATGCAGGTAACTAGACTCATAAAGGAGCTATTTCTTACCTAACGTATGAAAAATTTTCTTTCAATTTTGTAGGACAAAATCAAAATCAAGGTGCATCGCTTCCTCCATGGATGCAAACAGGTAACTGTTTTCACTTTATTTGTATAAAAATATTTAATTCGGGAGGAAATATCTTTAATTTTATATTCTTGACAATTTAGGATTTAAAATATGTATGTATGTTGATGATACCATAAAGAAAATTAAAGTTAATCGGTAGGGATGCGAAAGTAAAAAAAAACCAGTAATCTTGCACAAAATGCAACGAAGAAATACTTCTTTAAACATAAGATATGGGATCAAGGGTATATCCGCTTTGTGTTCTTTATCATGATCAGGAAAAAAAGAGAAAATCCATAGTCAATTCAGTTGATAATAATGGCTTAACAATTTTTATGAAAGACTTAAGTCAACGTTATACCTAATGAAAAATTGTCATTTTATCAAGCGTCGAATGTACGAAATGCCGACTTTAAATAGGTATGTAAATACCGATGTATTATCAACTTATTTGTCAATAATCTACCTCGTCTTGTAAAATAATAGTAAAAAAACGTTCTTGCGTATCAAATTGCTTGACTTATGAAACTGACTAATTCCTTACAGTTATAAGGTTAGGGTAAATGGCAATCCCTTGAAAAAAAAAAGTAAAAGTAAAGGTATCTTATCTTTAAGTATCTTATAAATTGAAAGGAAAAGTCATAAACTTCACAATCCTCTTCGTAGGAAATGGCCAGAATACAGGTTTACCAGGATTACCAACAAACCCATTCAGTCAGACTCCTGGACAGCAAGGAATGCAAGGATTTGGTAACTTTCACTTATTATAAAGATTAATTAGGATAATCTAAAAGAAGTATACAGATTCAAGTTCGTTCGATGATTGTACCTCTACTGAAAATTATATATACCTTACATATATGAACAAATTAAGGCAAAAATGGTTTTATATCTTCTCTCTATACATGTAGCTAGCCTCATTTTCATTGTATTTTTTTTTATCACGCTTATCATCAGAAACTTAGAAACAACAGTCAATTTTCTCATTACCAAGTACAAATCCTTTAAAGAGAACAAGAAACACAACCGAGTGCAATATGTATGGTACCGATTTTGAAATATTTTTTCTCAAACATTACCTTCTGGCTTTTAAGAGCTATCTAACTATCGATGAGCAAAAGTTTCTTTTTTTTATTTTAATTTTTTTTTATATATATATAATTTTTAGAGATTAAATACAAAATTCTCACAAACGGTCGATATATGTTATTTATAAGTTACAATAAAAGTGCCTTTCCTTAACTCATATTCTTTAAAATTATGCTAAACGGCAAATTATAGATTCCACATGTTAGTTTAAAGGGTTTCTAGAACTTTAATTTCAGAAAAATAATTAAACTGTTTTTGTTTTTTAAATAAAGCTCATTGTTATAATATACATGTACATATTTATATCTCAATTATGTTTGAATAGGTGGATCCAACAATCAATTACCATGGCTAACTTCTCGTGAGTAACACAAATATTATACATGGTTATTGTGATGTCATTGTAATACAGAATGTACTTGATATAGTTTCACTCATGGTTGTATTTTGCGTTAATCAGATCAAAACGATGGTTCGAATTTTAAAGGCATTTTCACATAATATATCTCAAAAAATATGTAAAATGTCGATATAAATGTCGATATGTGTTTGCTCAGAATAAATTAATATTTATTTAAACGACTTTTTTAAAAAAAATCTTTTTTATCCTAACTAATGGACTGTTTTTGTTTACAGAAACCCAACCTCAGAACTCTGGTGTTTCAGGTCAGTCTCTTTATCATTTGAAATGTAACTAGGGCTAATTGTAACGGGAACCGTTACAGATGTTCCCCAAACGCTCCCCAACTCCCATTTGGTGCCATACTCCCTTTAAGCTTCATTAAAAACGACAAACTCTATGCATTTTACACTTTAACAATGTTTCCCTGAAGTATACCGAGTATATTCAAATTTTAGCATTTGCACGCGTGCACATGTAAATGCATGTGCGTAATGACCATATTCTCTTGTCTACACTATCTATATATACATTAATATAATAAAGTAATAAAGCATTTAATCCAAAAGTATTAAAAAATACGCTTCATCAAGTGTATTTTTTATTTTATCCATCTCATGTGCATGCACGTGCATGCATGTGCATGATGACCTTACCTTTTTGTAGGAATCCACTATGTCTATCTATGTTCTAAATCCCATCCTGTTTGGTTGAAAATCAAAGGAGTTATACCCATTTAAAGTTTAAGCCAATCAGATTGCAGCGCACGTGCATGCACGTGTTTTCATGATACCTGCTATATATTATATTGTAGTATATCCTAATGCATGACTATGCTTAAAATTTCAAAGCATTTCGTCAAAAAACAAAAGAGATATTGAAATCTTTGTTTCAGCCAATCAGAGGGAAGCGCACGTGCATGCACGTGAGTTCGTGCTAATTTGACCATGTCATATTATCTAGGCTATTAATATATCCTTATAGAATGAGTTTCAAAGCATTTCAATAAAAAATGTAAAAGTTATGGCTATAATAAGTATATCAGTCATTTCACTCATTTCACGCGCACGCACGTGCATGCGTATGCGCGCAAAATGACCTTCGTTGTGCACACCTACACTTGACACCTATTAACCCTAAAAAGGTTTTAACTTAGTTGGGTGAACAGTTTCTGAGAACACTCGCGGACAAAAAAAGTACCGGAGAACAAAGAAGAAAAAAAAGAATAATAATAATAACTAGTGCTAATTGTAACGGGGACCGTTACAGATGTTCCCCAAACGCTCCCCAACTCCCTTTTGGTGCCATATTCCCTGTAATCTCTATTAAATAGAAATACTTTATGAAGTTTAGACTTAATCAAGGTCTTCCCAGAAAAATACAAAATATATTTAAAAATAGCATTGCACGCGTGTTCATGTGCGTAACGACCATATTATCTTGTCTACAATATCTAAAATATTAATATACTTCATATCAAAGCATTTAATCCAAAAGTTTTTAAAAAATACACTCATTCGAGTGTATTTTTAATTTTACTCATTTCACGTGCACGCACGTGCATAATGACTATACCTTCTTGTAGGAATCCCTTATATTTATCTATGTTCTAAATCCCATCCTGTTTGGTTGAAAAACAAGGGAGTTATAGCCATTTGAAGTTTCAGCCAATCAGATTGCAGCACACATGCATGCGCGTGATTTCATGAATTTTTATCTTTATCGTATTGAAGGATATCTAAATGAATGACTATATTTTAAAATTCCAAACATTTCGTCAAAAAACAAAGGAGATATAGCCATATAAAGATTCAGCCAATCAGATTGCAGCACACGTGCATGCGCGTGATTTCATGAATTTTTTTCTATATCATATTTTAGGATATCCTAATGCATGAATATGCTTTAAATTTCAAAGCATTTCGTCAAAAAACAAAGGAGATATAGCCATTTAAAGTTTCGGCCAATCAGATTACAGCTCGCGCGCATGCGCATGCTTTCATGAAAATTTTTATATATCATGCTGTAGGTCTTCATAATGTTGGACTATGTTCAAAATTTCAAAAGATTATGACAAGAAACAAGAAAGATATTGAGACTTTATTTTCAACCAATCAGAGCGAAGCGCACGTGCATGCGCGTGAGATCTTGCTATTTTGACCATGCCATCTAGTCTATACTACTAATGTATCCTTACATTATGAGTTTCAAAAAAAATCATCAAAAAAAGAAAAGTTACAGCAATATCCATTATATTGGTCATTTCATGTGTTGCACGTGCGCGCTCTTGCAAGCACGTGCGCGCAAAATGACCTTCGTTTGGCAAATCTGCATAACATGTCTACTGACCCTAAAAACATTTTACCTTAGTCAGATGTGTAGTTTACAAGATCACTCGTGGACAAAATTTTCCCAGGAAGAAGAAAAATAATAATAATAATAATAATAATAATAAGAAACAGAGTAAAAACAATATGTTCCCCAACTTCGTTTGGGGAACATAATAACTAGTGCTAATTGTAACGGGGACCGTTACAGATGTTCCCCAAACGCTCCCCAACTCCCTTTTGGTGCCATATTCCCTGTAAGCTTCATTGAATAAGACAAACTCTATGCATCTGAGATTTTAACAACAATTACAAAGAAGTGTACAAAAATCATTTAAACTTTAGCATTGCACGCGTGCACATGTGAATGCATTTGCGTCATGACCATATCATCTTGTCTACACAATCTATATTTTTAATACACTAAATATTAAAGTATTTAATCCAAAATTATTTAAAAAATACGCTCATTCAAGTGTATGTTTGATTTTACTCATTTCGCGTGCACGCACGTGCATACATGAGCATGGTGACCATACCTTCTTGTAGAAGTCCATTACATCTATCTATGTTCTAAATTCCACTTCATTTGGGTGAAAACTAAGGGAGTTATAGCTGTTTAAAGTTTCAGCCAATCAGATTGCAGCACATGTACACGCACGTGTATGCATGTGCATGGTGAACATACCTACTTGTAGAAGTTCATCATATCTATCTATGTTCCAAATCCCATCCTGTTTGGTAGAAAACCAAGGGAGTTATAGCTGTTTAAAGTTTCAGCCAATCAGATTGCAGCGCAAGTGCATGCACGTGTTTACATGATAATTGCTTTATTTCATGTTGTAGGATATCCTAATGCATGGCTATGTTCAAAATTTCAAAGGATTTCGTCAAAAAACAGGAAAGATATTGAGACTTTAGTTGCAGCCAATCAGAGCGAAGTGCACGTGCATGCGCGTGAGATCTTGCTATTTTTACCATGTCATCATGTCTATACTACTAATATATCCTCACATTATGAGTTTCAAAGCATTTCATCTAAAAATAAAACAGTTGTGGCTATATCTATTATATTGGTCATTTCACGTGTTGCACGTGCACGCTCTTGCAAGCACGTGCGCGCAAAATGACCTTGATTCCGCAAATCTACATAACATGTCTACTAACCCTAAAAAGGATTTACCTACATCGGACGAACAGTTTACAAGATCATTCCCGGACAAAAAAGTTCCAGGAAGAAGAAGAAGAAAAATAATAATAATAAGAAACAGAGTAAAAACAATATGTTCCCCAACTTCGTTTGGGGAACATAATAATAAGAAACAGAGTAAAAACAATATGTTCCCAAACTTCGTTTGGGGAACATAATAAGGCAGCAAAATTCAAATTCTCATTTCTCTACTAAGATTTTTACATCGGGCTCGGAGTTGGTTTTCTTCAGAAAGACAGGACTGGGTTCAAGGCGACTAGGGGTACCACACCGGTAATTGACCAATCAAAATGAACTTAGTCAATTGTAGGTCCATACATTAAGCCGATTTTCCTTTCTTTTGAGAGTTTTTTTTAATTTCCTTCCAGGCCAGTTTGACAACTCTGGTACCTGTGCCTAGGAAATTTTATCTACTCTATAAATAAATAAAGTTTTTTGACAGGAACTATTTCTCCAGGGCATAGGAGGCTACTTCCTGGGGTGCTTTTGTGATGTTTATAAAGACATGGAAAACACGTGGATTTGAGGGTAGCCCTGTTTGCATATGCAAATAAATCAGAAAATGTCGTGTACGTACCCTGGTTTTTTGGTGTCAGCTAATGTGACAGGTATTGTTTAACACCCCCTTATCAATATTTTTTCATGAATTCAAACACGTGAGGTTTTACTGGAAAGAAACGTGTATTGCTTTTTAATATACCGAAACTCGCTATTTCTGGGGATTGTGTAATTCTAAAAAAAATTCAGATAAATTTCAATGGTGAAATAAAAGAAGAATGCTTGGTATTAAAATATTAATTCATATCAGTAGAATTGAATGCTATTAACGACATCTGGAGAAATAGGCTTTAAAAGGTTTATATCATATCTTTGTTCGTCTGCACTTAAATTTCAAACACGACAGAATTTGTAATTTTTGCCGTAAAAATTCATAATTTCTATATACTTTAGAGACTTACCGTAAAACTTTCAGGAAACTTTCTATGAAGTCTTTTCTGCACCTTAAGTGAAATTTTATGTCGATCCCAGGTGTTGATCGAGTTTCAGAGAAATTTTCTACGTTGTTATTGATTTTTTTTTTTTAAGGAGAAGGGGGGGGGTTGACTTTTTTATTCTAAGCATTTGTTAAAGTGAGTTTGTAAATACATCTACGAACTTGAGCTGGATTGTGACCTTTGGGTCAAGGGGTCAAAGGTCAAGGTCATCAAAGCATTTCATAAAGAAATATAAAAGTAACGGCCATATCAAGTATACAAGTCATTTGATCATTGCACGCGCGCGAAGGTGCAATGCATGAAAGCTATATCATCGTGACTACACTTTTAATGTGTTTCTATTCTTTGAATTTTGAAACGTTTCATAAAAAAAATTACGACTATATCAAGTAAATCGGTCATTTAACGCATTGCGCGCGCACACGTGCATGCAAGTCCTTGCATTCAAGTTTGATAGTAGCATAATGTAAGAATCCGTCATATCTATTCATATTCTAAATTTCATCCTGTTTTGTTGAGAATCAAAAAAGTTATAGGCATTTAAAGTTTAAGCCAATCAGATCGCAGCACACGTGCATGGGCGTGGTTTCTTGAAAACTTTTATATATCATAGTTTAGGACGTATTAAGGTATGATTATGTTTTAAAATTCAAAGTATTTTGTCAAAAAACAAGTAAGATATTGAGATTTTTGTTTCAGCTAATCAGAGCAAAGCGCACGTGCATGCGCGTGCATGCATGTGCATGATGAACGTAACTTCTTATAGGAGTCTATTGTGTCTGTCTATGTTCTAAATCTTATCGTGGTTGGTTGAAAAACAAGGGAGTTACAGCCATTTGAAGTTTAAGCCAATAAGATTGCAGCGCACGTGCATGCGCATGCTTTCATGACAAATGTTATACATCATGTTGTAGGACATCTTAAAGTATGCTTATATTTTAAATTTCATACCATTTCGTCAAAAAACGGAAAAGATATTGAGATTTTTGTTTCAGCCAATCAGAGCGAAGCGCACGTAAATGCGCGTGAGTTCTTGCTAATTTGACAGTGTCACATTATCTACACTATTAATATATCCTTATATAATGAGTTTCAAAGCATTTCATCGGAAAATGTTAAAGTTATGGCTATATTAAATATATTAGTCATTTCAGTCATTTCACGCGCCCGCACGTGCAGGCGTATGCGCGCAAAATGACCTTCGTTCCGCACACCTACACAACACACCTATTAACCCTAAAAAGGTTTTAGCTCAGTTGGGTGAACAGTTTCTGAGAACACTCGCGGACAAAAAAGTACCGGAGAAGAAATAAGAAGAAAAAAGAATAATAATAATAATAACTAGTGCTAATTGTAACGGGAACCGTTACAGATGTTCCCCAAACGCTCCCCAACTCCCTTTCGGTGCCATATTCCCTGTAAGCTTCATTAAATAAGACAAACTCTGTGCATTTTTGACTTTAACAACGTTTTCCCAGAAGGATACCAATTATATTCAATTTTTAGCATTGCACCCAAGCGCATGTGAATGCATGTGCGTTATGACCATATCATCTTGTCTACACTATTTATATATTTTAATATACATGTACTATATATTAAACCATTCAGTCCAAAAGTAATAAAAATCACTCATTCAAGTGTATTTTTAAATATACTCGTTTCAAATGCACGCACGTGCGTGCACGTGCATAATGACTACACCTTCTTGTAGGAGTCCCTTATATTTATCTATGTTCTAAATCCCATCCTGTTTAGTTGAAAAACAAGGGAGTTATAGCCATTTAAAGTTTCAGCCAATCAGATTGCAGCACACGTGCATGCGCGTTATTTCATGATTTTTTTTATATCATTTTGTAGGATATCCTAATGCATGACTATATTTTAAATTTCAAAGAATTTCGTCGAAAAACAAAGGAGAAATAGCCATTTAAAGTTTCAGCCAATCAGATTGCAGCACACGTGCATGCGCGTGATTTCATGATATTTTTCTGTATCATTTTGTAGGATATCCTAATGCATGACTATATTTTAAATTTCAAAGAATTTCGTCAAAAAACAAAGGAGATATTGCCATTTAAAGTTTCAGCCAATCAGCTTGCAGCACGCGCACATGCGCATGCTTTCATGAAAATTCTTATATATCTTGCGGTAGATCTTCATAATGTAGGACTATGTTCAAAATTTCAAAGGATTATGACAAGAAACAAGAAAGATATTGAAACTTTAGTTTCAGCCAATCAGAGCGAAGCGCACGTGCATGCGCGTGAGATCTTGCTATTTTGACCATGCTATCTTGTCTATACTACCAATGTATCCTTACATTATGAGTTTCAAAAAATTTCATCAAAAAATAGAAAAGTTATGGCAATATCCATTATATTGGTCACTTCACGTGTTGCACGTGCGCGCTCTTGCAAGCACGTGCGCGCAAAATGACCTTCGTTCGGCAACTCTACATAACATGCCTACTGACCCTAAAAAGGTTTCACCTAAGTCGGTTGTGTAGTTTACAAGATCACTCGTGGACAAAATTTTCCCAGGAAGAAGAAAAATAATAATAAGAATAATAATAATAAGAAACCGAGTAAAAACAATATGTTCCCCAACTTCGTTTGGGGAACATAATAAGAAACAGAGTAAAAACAATATGTTCCCAAACTTCGTTTGGGGAACATAATAATAATAAGAAACCGAGTAAAAACAATATGTTCCCAAACTCCGTTTGGGGAACATAATTAGCATCAACAACGAAAAAACCCCTAATCAAACAAACTAAAATGCTCATTGAAAATTCTCAAACATACATATAGCTATATGCTCAATGTTAATTTTTAACTTCTTTCTGAATCAAATCTTTTTACTTTTTAGCTCACCTGAGCCGAAGGCTCAAGTGAGCTTTTCTGATCACATTTTGTCCGGCGTCCGTCTGTCTGTCTGTAAACTTTTCACATTTTCGACTTCTTCTCAAGAACCACTGGGCCAATATCAACCAAACTTGCCACAAAGCATCCTTGGGTGAAGGGGATTCAAATTTGTTCAAATAAAGGGCCACGCCCTTATTCAAGGGGAGATAATTGGGAATTAATGAAAATTTGGTGGTATGTTTTAAAAATCCTCTTCTCGAGAACCACTGTGCCAGGAAAGATGAAACTTGTAGGGAAACATCCTCAGGTAGTGTAGATTCAAGTTTGTTCAAATCATGACCCCTGGGGGTAGGGCGGGGCCACAATGGCCGACCAAAGTTTTACATAGAAATATATGGGAAAATTCTTTTAAAATCTTCTCAAGAATAACAAAGCCATAATTGATCATATTTATATGGAAGCATCCTCAGGTAGTGTAGATTCAAGTTTGTTCAAATCATGACCCCCGGGGGTAGGGCGGGGCCACAATGGCCGACCAAAGTTTTACATAGAAATATATGGGAAAATTCTTTAAAAATCTTCTTCTCAAGAATAACACAGCCATAATGGTTCATATTTATATTGAAGTCTCATTAGGTAGTGTAGATTCAAATTTGTTCAAATCATGACCCCCAGAGGTAGGACGGGGCCACAATGGCCGACCAAAGTTTTACATAGAAATATATGGGAAATTTCTAAAAAAATCTTTTTCTCAAGAATAGCAAAGCCATGATTGGTCATGGGACTACTTTTGGATTTAAACTTTTCAATAACAAACCAATTTCTACTTTTTCCTAGCCACAGTGCTCAGGTGAGCGATGTGGCCCATGGGCCTCTTGTTTGACTTTGGGTAACTTTAAAATTTTTGAAGTCGTTTGAATAAGGAGTATGGTTCGATCAGTTCCACTGTCAGAAATAGCACATCAATACAAACAAGCTTTCTAACCCTGGATTCATGAACTTCTTTTTATTATATATATTTAATTTTTTGTAGACATTCTTCCTGGTCTTACTTTTCCCGATAATTCTGCTGGACAGACAACTGGTCAAGGTACCACCGGAACAACTGGCACAGGACTTCCCGATTTCTCATCCCTCCTTAATACAGGAACAGGAACTGGGACTGACACACAATCCTTTGATTTCTCGTCCTTATTTGGTAATACAGGAAGTACAGGTGAAACACAAGGAACTCAAACACAAACACCTCAACTTCCGTCAAATTTGCTTCAAGGACTTCAGGCCCTTCAAAATGCTGGACCTGCTCCAGGAACTAATCCTTTGGGTGGAAACCAAGGCGGTAATCCATTCAGTGGTCTAACAGGAACTCAAAATAACAATCCTTTGGGTGGAGCTCAGGGCACCAACCCCTTTGCAAATCTTCCTGGTTTGAACCAAGGCAATGCAGCTAACAGTAACAATCCATTTGCAGGTCTCCCATCAACTGGATCACAAGGTGCAAATAACAATCCATTTGCAGGTCTTCCATCAACTGGATTACAAGGTGCAAATCCATTTGGTGGTTTGCCAAATGGTTTTCCACCAACAGGAAATGGTGGTAACAATCCATTTAGAGGTCTTCCTGGTTTGAATTCAAATGGTGCTCAAAACACAAATCCATTGGGAAATCTTCCAGGAGGCTCCCAGTCACAAGGTACTAATCCATTAGGAAATCTACCATCTGGAAACAATAATAACCAGTTTGGTGGTTTGCAAGGATTATTTGGTAGACCTCAAGGGAATAACCCATTGGGTCCTCCAGGCGGTTCACAATTACCTGGAATGCAAGGCAATAATCCTTTCAGTGCCAATCCGTTTGCCGGCCTTCCAAATATGAATGGAATGGGTGGACTTCCGGGAGGAAATTTCACTGGACTGCCAGATCCACTGGGAGGTCTTCCTCCTTTCTTGCCCCCTGGTTTCCCCCCGATGGGAGGTCAGTTACCACCAAACTTTGGAGGTACGTTAAATAATAATGATTTTAGCCTAAAAATGCATATCTTGAAATCTAAATGTCAATCTTACACTTTTTATGGAATGTTTTAACTCATTGTTGATGGTTCTTTTTTTGTTGTTGAAATGTTGTGAGATGCACTTATCAAATATCGCCACCAATGCTTTTTTGCATGTACACCATTTCTGATCAAAGAGTATTTAACACTGAGTTCAATAGATTTTATAATAAAGTAATTACTCTAGCTATAATTTCTCGAACACTTCCTTTTACCAAATTGATGTATATTTTCAGCCACACAAACGGGACAGAATGGCGCTTCTACAGGTATGTTATCTTCTACATATTTGCAGTGTCGGTTTAATTGAAGATTACGATATTCAAAAAATATCCTGGAAATCATTTTAATTCATTTATTACATGTCTTTTAAAGCGTATTTAGATCATCCGGGCCATTTTGGCGATTTATTTCATCTTTCTTCATGATAAATCGGACATCGTACGTCGTGCGTCCTTTGTAAACTTTTGATCATGCATTTCCAGTATTGACTTACAGTCAGAGAAAAACTAATATTTGACAAAATTTAATACTATCTGGTCACAATCTTTGGTTAATATCAAGTTTTAGCTTAAAATTACTTGAAGGGAAAAATGAAATTCATGACGAGACCGAAAGTAAGTCTGCAATTATGGGCTTTCATGTAAAAGGTTTTCCTAGAAAAAAAAAAGATGCTGGAATTGTCAGTAATTTATGAAGTGGTTTATTTTTTGTACTCTCTTTTTTTGAAAAATTAGAAACTCGGTAGCTTTGTGATGAAATATATAAGTATTAAATCTCTAGTTCTGATAATTTTGGTCATGTAATATATTGATATTCTTGGTTCAGGATTTATTTGCAACAGTTAATTTTCAATTAGGATCATTATTATGTTTATTTTCAATATAATATTTAGGCAAGGGAAATAATATTATGATCCTTACGATTAAATTGTTGTTTTTTTCCTTATTGATTGACCTTCTGTTCAGGATTTTTGTAAAATACAATGTACCGTAACGTAATATTCATTTCATGTTGTAATTAGAGAACAATATCATTGCTATAGTATGTTTGTATAATTTGCTTTCAAGTTAAAAAAATAAGCACATTCCCATATAATCACCGTTCACGGTAGCCTAGAGGTAGAGCGTTCGCTTCGTGATCAGGAGGCCCGGGTTCGATTCTCGTTCGCGGCGCCGCGTCAAACCGAAGACGTAAAAATAGGTAGTGACTGTTCCTTCGCCAAGCACTCGGCATCAGAAGTGAAAGTCACGGGTCTTTCGGATATGACCTTAAAAACGTAGGTCCCGTGTCACGGTAGGCGCTGGCACGATAAAGAACCCTCACTGCTCAATGGCCCTGAGTGCCTAGTATAGGTCTAAATTTGAAGCCCTTCACCGGCATACGGTGACGTCTCCATATGAGTGAAAAATCCTCGAGAGGGACGTTAATCAATATATATTTCCATTTCTAATTTTTCTCTCTGTGATAACTTTTTGAAAGTTAGGGGTAGTTTATTTCTTGATAATTCTGCCGGAATGTAAATTAGGCAGGTCGATAGGTCGGGAGCTAAGGAGGCCTATTACGCATGCAATTCTCGTGCGCATCTGTCTCTGTGTCAAATATGCATGTAAATCTCGTGCGGCTGCCTTTGTGTTTGACGTCAGTTGGCGAGGACTATTGAAATTGGCATGGAAGTCATCATGTGATTTTAATCTATTTATCTACATTTTTAAAGTCTAAAACTACAATTTTATTTCACAATGAAATGGAAATATAAGGAATCACTGTCTAGTTAGGAGGGTATGTCAGGGACATCAACAAAAGTGGAAAACATGGGATAATTTAAGCATAACGGGCTTCGCCCGTTATGCAAATTATCCCATGTTTCCCACTATTGTTGATGCCCTGACATACCCTCCTAACTAGACAGTGATTCCTTAAACAATCAATCAATCAATCCAATATAATCCTGTTGTAAATATTCCGAGAATGATCTCAAAAAATACCTAGACAATAGAATTTTGTTAAACTTGGTATATACAATGAGGTCAATGTAACCTGTAGGTTGCATAAATTTTGAAACTAGGAGTTTTTTCTGATTTACTAGAGTAGTTTTCACAAAATTAATTCTCACATGCTTCCTCCAAGTTATAAAATCTGAAAAAGGTTTGTTACAGTTTAGGAAAGAAAAATTTTATTCTGGTATTTGGTTATCCTTTTTCTATATTTGAAAGGACTTCTTTTGAAAGTTCTTTTTTTTGAACACCCACTTTCCTAAAAGCTTTATTCGTTCCCATGATATTACCATATTGCATTCCCATATTATCCCAAATTGCATGAAATATCTATACTTTATGTATAATATGCAAAAATTTTAGTTTGGTTGTTGTGTAGAACGCTTTCTTGAGTATTCCCATTTTGTCCTAGGTACGGGAAATAACCAAGGAACCCCAAGTGTCTTTAATCCCCCAGCGGGTTTGGGTAAGTGAGACGTGTGTATATGTGCTCGCCGTGATTCTAGATATTATCAATATATTATGATACTGTAAATGTACGTGTTTTAGCGGCAATCATATTTAAGCGCCTTTTCGTCCCTTCAAGTCTGCTAATTTTAAATACACGCTAATACTGAATTTAAAGTATTCTTATTTTTTTTCAAAATTCATTTACGCTTTTTTTGATTGAAATTGAAGAGTTGAACAAAAAGATGCGCCAAATTTTGATTGTGCTAATTTATGTACGTTTACCGTATGATTTGGCACCTGTGGTGCATGCTGGGATAGTTATTATTAGTATACACTAGGGTTGCTTATTCAGCAGTTACTGCATTTACAGTACAATACATAAATTATATATACAGCGCCTACACAGTAAACAATATTGTAGGTTTGATGTTTTACCTGCTATGAGCACCTGAATAAAACACCGGATTGACGGGTGCACAACTTGATTGTCTCATTTTCTATTTCCTATAGACTTTTTACAAGGATTGGGAACAGACGCTAACCCCTTCCCTGGTTCATCAGGTGAGTTTATGTTCAAAGGGAAATATGAAAATTGATTAATTACAAAAGAATCATTTCGACAAAAACATTGAAACTTGTCTTACCAGGATATCATGTAATCCGAAAATTTGCTTAACTTAATGTTAACATTATGTCAATTTCAGTAAAGAACAAGGTATGGTTTCAATGCAAATAGTGCCCTGTGATTTTCTCAAAAATGAAATTGAAGTAAAAGATGAAAACTCATGCTTTCTGAATCATTGAAATTCCATGCAGAGAAATTATGCAAATTATTTTTCTCACATGCATTTTAAAAATGCTAATTGTGAGGTCATAAACATGTGCATTTTCCCGTGTTTTGTTAAAAAGTTGCAGAAGACACCAATTTTCAAAAGAATTTTCTTTCAGATAATATTGTCCATAGGCATTGCCCACAAAGATTTTGAGATATGTGATTTTTCATTGACTTTTGCACAAAATATCCAAAAAATAAATTGGGCGACAGCTGTGGACACTATTTTCTGAAGGAAAATTATTCTTTAAATGGGTCATTTTCAGGCCTTTTCTGTTTAAAGTAAAGAAATGCATCAAATTAATGACGTCACATTTCAAGAATGTTACTCCCTTATGCCATATTCTTTTATGATCTATCACAGTCAAAAACTCGACTAATATTTAATCCAGTTTCAAAACTTTTTGAAAACATTAAGTTTTTAGGGCACGATAAAGTTAAAAACCATACCTTCGTCTTATGTTCATAAATTAAATTTGTCTAGTCCGGAATACTGTCTGATCCAGCTTTTTCTGGTACAAGTGGTATCTGGATTAGACATGTTATACTGCAAATACAAAATGGAGTGTGGTTATTATTACATCTCTTATATCTGAACATATTTAGGAGGTAGTGGAGCAACATCAGGAACAAGTCCCCTTTCTGGACTCACAAGTCAATCCAGTCCTTTCTCTGGACTCGGAAGTCAATCCAGTGGTTTGAGCCCCTTCTCCTCCAGCGCAGGCTCACCCTCATCAAATCCCGCCTCTGGGGGTGGTAATACCGATCCTTTCTCAACCTTCACTTCATTTCTTCAGAACAACCCCTCTAGTTCAGGGATCCCATCCTTTGGACAGTGATCACCTAACGTTTTGATCTCTCAAGCCTAACTTAAATGGGAATACAGTGTTTAAAACTAATTAAAAACTCTTTCTTTCGTCTGTTATTGTGGTTATGGTCTGTGAAGAATTCAAATCAAACACTTCAACATCTTATTGATTTTTCTGATTTAACAACAATTGATGCATGTTATGATACTAATGTTTTAATTAAATAAAATTTGTTTTCTATTTTTATCTGTTTATCTCCTTAATGGTTTAAATTACGATCTCAATTGTTAAACAATACGTATTTATGTTGAAACTGCGACAATCGCTGTAAGCTAAGGTTTCACCGAATGAATCCAGACTTTAGAACATGGAAAGAATTTAGTCCCTTTAACCAGATTCATAAAAATGGCAACTCTACAAAAGGACGCGAGGAGAGGAAGAAGCCGTCAATGACTTTCAATTATCGTCTTCAGGTTTGAATTTGTTAACCAGGAGCAATATACACAAATCTTTTATCATTTTCCTTTGCTTTTGATCCACAGCATTGAATAAACTCCTTTATCTTGAAAAGTTAGATTCGACTGCTTTGGAATATTACCTTGATTCTGCTCCACTTTGTTTTTCCCTCCTATATATTTGCTTCTTATAATCCTATGTAATGCAGTCCTTAGAATGAAAACGTATTAGATATAGAACATAGAGTTGCTTTTGCCTCAACGCGGAATATCAAAACTTGCATGGGTTACACAAAACTTGTATTTTGCTTGACGATTGGGATAAGGTTTGCATGTTCAGCACGAAACTACCTTTATGCATGTCGCTTGTCATATATCCCCCCCACCCAAATATTATTGTATTTTTCCAATCTTACTTTGAATATCGATCAAATCTAAATAGTTTGTAAGAATAATAAATTTCTTCTTTTTTTTTTCTTTTTTTTTTGTTTTGCAATGGCAGTAATGTAAATAATTTTGAATTTGTAGGCATGCGGATAACAACGGAGCGCCCACCGCCACCACCTAATCCTTTGAATTCAAATAACGGTATTTCACCACTTTTTTTACAATCTAAATATTCAATCAACTAAAACAATTTCAAAATCAAATTTGAAAAATAACACCATGGAATTCAAAGAAAGAAATGTCTTCTGAAACCTTTGAAAAAAATAAAATGAATAGTATCAATTTTAGTAGGATAAAAAGTATATATAATTTTATGAATGAAAATCTGAACACTTTTACATTTCTATCCATACCAATTCATTAAAAATGAAATTCTTAATAAATGAAAAAAACTTGGCGCATCTTAATTTTCATGTTTATGTTTTTTTTTTCTCTGAGTGCAGATTGACACGCATTATTATAGTATTTTTGGAATTGTTATGATAAAATTACTTGCAATGTAACAAGAATTATTACTAGAAACAAATGCCATATTTGTAGCCGGAAAGAAGTCCGGAAGAATCATGGCCGTCATAGATATGACAAACGCCACAGAAGAGAATCTGAGTACAATGATCAAAGTGTTAACAAACATGCTCGATGGCAAACGTGAGTTGCTGCTGCAACTGTGGGGAGGGCTATTGTGATATATTTTGTTTGCACAGCTTTCATTTTTCATGTATATGCACACTGACTAAGAGAACACAAGGCTTTCAATTTAAATTTTCTGTAGATTTGAATGGAATTTTTACTTCGGTTAGAATTCTCTTTATGTTTTATACTTTAATTTTTAAACATATGCATAGCTGTTGCTGTGCATCATCTAAAGTCAAGAGTTTCCCCTCTGCTTCAAATGAGCCGAGTTGACCAGATATCACTAGACTAGGAAGATGGTTTTTGTGCGTTATTTTCCGTTCTGATTGAAAAAAAGCTTAATTAATACAACTTTCTCAACGTACTGTACGTTCATAATCCGCATTAAAAATAGCTACATGTGATGTATATCGTTGCAAGAATTGCTATTTGCATATGTGAACACACACACCATGTTTCTACGAAGCATTGTCACATTCATTACTTTGTTAAAAGCATAAGTGTTTGGTTTTTTTTAATTCAACGTCTTATCTGAAATACATATTTTAATGTTATTAAAGTTAGAGAGTGGATTTATTTTTATTAGGCCCTCAGTGAGATAAATTTGAGAAATGAGACGATTGGTTTTGAATATGACTAATGCGTATACATTTCATACTAGTATTCTGGTCATTTCAGAAGGCGATACCCTCTCAGTGAAAACCGATTCAGGTGATCTACCAAGTAAGTAAATGTATATATACTAAACCTTATTAGCATTCAGTTTTGTTTAGAATGTATATGGACAGAAAAGCCCCATTAATCTTAAGCAAAACTTCCTATTGAAAATAAGACTTATGGTATTTCGTATAATTTTTCAAAGAAACTTTTGGATTAAAAAAAAATAAGTTAGTACCAAAACAATTGAATTTAAACTAGTTGTGTTTGTTTATGTATATATATTTAAATATAAATCAAGAAAGGAATTTATAGAAATTTATATTAGATATGAATTCCTTACACGTGCCTACAATTTTTACCTCCAGGGATATTCAAATACTGATAAGGTCATTCTGAAAAAAAAAAAATCATTGTGAGAATACCCAAAACTTGCATAAAATAACGAAACAGAGTACCTAAAAAATTGAAAGAAGCCAGAAAACAGTGATAAATGACAAAAAATGAATCTGTTTAGATAATTCTAGAAAATATAATTTTTATGTACATGCATTAGGGTGTGAAAACGTTTGGATTAAATTTGAACTTTCATTAACATTGATGGTGTATGATTTCTAAATGTTGACTTATGGCTGATATTTTTAATCGCAGGTTTATCCAACCTCACCATATAAGGTAAATCATTTATGTCCCTACTAACAATTGTGTATTAAACGTTATACTGTGCTGTCTTAATTATATGTTGCTTCAACGGAAATAGAGTAGAAGTTGCATTATATGATATATATGACACTTTGTAATCAGGTCACGGGATAAATAGTGTCTAAATAAGTGTGTAGTTCTACAGGTAGATTTGTTCAGAAGATACAGATTGAATAAACCTTATATAAATATAACGTTTTGCAAGAAAATAGTTACATAAACATGGAGATACTTTTTGAGTTGTCAAACAAGGTTTCCGACATTAAGAGAAAAAATATTTATTTACTTCATGTTTGCCCTCGTGAAGTAGTAAGTAAATGCAGATGAATATATGATGAGATTGACCAGGATACTATTTTGAGCCATATATGTACAATATACTAGTGAAGCCCAGAAATTGCTGCATATGATAGATTAAAAAAAAAAGTAATTAAATGTAAAAGTTTCAACGAAAATTATTTATTAAAATACGCCAATGTTAGATAGTTGTTGTTCGGATTTTTATTTTTCTATTTCTTATAGATTAATGGGGCATCAGTTTCTTTTTCCACGAAAAAATGATTGGCAAATAATATATAACAATAATTAAAATATTTCGAATTCTTTCCTTTTATGAAAAGAACTATGTAATTGTTTTTCTTTTTCCAATAGTTATACCTTGGATAGAAAATAAAGTATAAACGTCAACGTGTTGGTGAGTACATTTTGTTTCTTGTGAATTTTATACGTGATTTTTTTTCACGTCTTCATCATTTACTTTTAAGAAAGGCTGCACCTTCTTTTCTCAAAGAATTTTTTAAAAATATTCAAAATCTACTGAATAATTTTTGCTAGAAAACCTGCCATATACCATGATATAAAATCTAAATCTCATATAGTGATACTTATCAAGATTTACTTTTTCTCTTGATTAATGACTGTGTGTCTTTGATTGACTTCTATAAACTTGAAAGGTCTTATATTTTTTTCCAGGTGCAATATAAACCTTTGTCTGCAGTTATAATTGTGATGGTATATAGCTTTTGTATTTATATATTCTAAGATGCATATTTGCATATTAAATTAAAATAATAACAATCTGCCTTCCTTTTCTATATTCATATATGAAGGTTACGAGTGTTGTCATTGTAAGTAAATGTTGTTTGGAAGAAAAAGAGTCAAAATATAAAAATCGATGAAATTTATTGCTTCGAACACGTATACAAAGCATATATCGATGATAAATGAAAATGACGTATATACATGATATCTTAATTTATTCCATCATTTATAACTAAGTAAATGTTCCAAGAACGCACTTCTACAAAGTGAGAGGATAGCGAGAGTAGAAAGCCCGAAGTACTGTACATTAATCTACTTAGTGTGTTTGTTTCTGCAAAAACTAGGCTAATTGTTATGTACATCTGCTGCAATTATATTTGTTTCAAACCAAAAAGTCATAATTTTTTTTACAATGGCATCGGATCAGGCATGGCTGTGACGTCATTCATTGGCGGTAAATCAGTTGGGAAAGCACCGTTTGTGAAAGAACCAGAAACACCCATATCTACAGGACCCGGATCCACTAAACCAGTGTCAATTATTCCGGATCCGTCCGACATGGTTCCCGCGGAAGCCATTCCTCCTGTTGTAAATCCTCCTGTGACTCCGTCGTTGACGAAAGAGGTGCTCATACCTCCGTCGTTGACGAAAGAGGTGCTCATACTTCCGCCAACATCAGCTCCAAAACCGTCAAAACCGACATCTGCTGTGCCTACGTTTCCTGTCGGCGATGTTCTTCGAAATATAGTGGTTTTCTTAATTTTTGTTATTCCCCCGGTCCCTGCACCTGCGTTACCCGCCATTGATGTATCTCCAGAGGTTGTTGTACTCGACGTTCTGGTACTTGAACTAGAACTTTCGAATGAACTGCTAAAGCTACTTGATGAACCATCTACTGCACCTCCATTTCCCATATTGCCATCTACCGTCATCATTCCTCCCATGGAGTTGTCAACCTTTACATGTAATGAGAGTTATGCTTTTATTGTTCTGGCGTACATAAAACTTCAATAACTGTATGAAATTTTATTGATGAAAAAGAAGTTTGATTAGAAATATATGCATGTCTCACCCCAACTCCAGCGTCAATTGTATTAACTCCAGCCCCAATTGTATTAACTCCAGCGCCAATTGTATTAACTCCACCGCCCATTGTATTAACTCCACCGCCAATTGTGTTAACTGTATTTGTTGATGTTGTTGACTTTCTATTAATGATATTCACTTCTGAAAAAGAGTAAAATATTTATAATTACAATATTAAAATATATGTATATGAAAATTAAACTGATGAACTTTTTATACAAAAAGTATATAAAAACTTACGATTTGCATTTGTCATATTCCGAAGGAATTCATTGAAATCTGCCTGATTCGCCTTTTCATTCATTGGGATAACAGCAAAAACAGGTCTGTCTACACCAGCTGCAGCCACTAATTGTTGTTCGATTGCGTTCAGCTGTTTTTCAATGGAAAGTGCGGAGTCTCCAGTTATACCAGCTTCAGCCAGTCGTCTGGTTGTTGTGGTCGTGGTTGTACGAGTTACTGAACCTGAAGTACCAACATCAGTCACGCCATCTACTCCTATTTTCTTGATCGAAGTTGTCTTAACCGAAGCAGCAGATGCATCGAGTCCTACTCCACTTCTGTCTATTGTGTTATCTATTGTGTTATCTATCGGATCAATCCTACTGCCTGCTACTCCTGTCGAATCTCCTGTGAATCTTGTGGTTGTTCTTGTGGTTTCCATTCTGGAAGATGTAGCAGGAACGCGACTTGTCATGTCGATGGTTGCCCTGGTGTCTGGTATGTCGATTCCAATTCCTCCCTGGCCCCTATTAATTGAGGTAGGCACACCTATATCGATGTCCACGTTACCATCCACATTGAATCCTCTCGATCGTGACATGCTGCTAATAGCTCCTGCGGTTCCACCAGCTGGTCGTAGAGGTCGTAGGTTGATGTTGATTCTCGAGCCTCGTCTTACTGTTGGGGTTATTGGAATTCTGTCTATTGTGGCACGAGGAAGTGCAATAGATCTTATGTCAGAGTCAACTGAAAAAATATCATCGGATAATAAACAGTTTATAAGGTGTTTTAGAAAAATACTATTTGAATACATTTTTATAAATATATATATTATAAGTTTATTTTTACTTTAATATAAACATAAGTTTAAGTGATAATGAATTCTTTTACCTACTTTTATTGAGGGATAATTTTATTCTAGAATATCTAATAATATTCATTTGCCGTAAAATAATAGAACTTTTTTTTCCCCTTCACGACACGGAAAACGTATGTGTAAATGTATAATAGAAACTTGAAAATGTATAAGTATCTTTATTCAAATTCAACAGTTAACGATGTTTGCATATATTTTTTTTTCTGACTTATTTACAAATATTTCAACCTTATAGATTTTTGAAGACTAGTTAAAAGATCTTCTTGTGTTTTAGTCATATAACCAGAATTTAAATTAATTCCCGTAAGTCTTCCGTTGAATGATAATCCATGAAAAAAACAGTTATTAGATTATTCAGTGAGATATTTAAAGAATTATTCTTTGCTTTAAAATGCCATTTAAGTATAGTGTATACTTTAATAACATTGGAAAGATGTGCAATTGCTACGTTTATTTCATATTGTATCCAGTTCATAGATATTGTATCTAGTTCGTTGTAAATTGTTTTCTGTACACATCAAATCATATCTAGTACATGTTTTGTAGCATTACTGAATATATTTGTTCTGGTAAATGAGTACAAAGCAAAATCCCCTTCTCTCAACGGAGTTGAATGAAAATTAGATCTTACCAGTTTAGATTTTATATCAAAAGAAAGCTTGACAATGTCTAAAAAATCTTAATTTGACTTTTGATCTTGGTAACTCGATCTTCTCCAGTCCCTTCTCTTTCTCATATAAACAGCTCAAAACCCTTTGACATTATATGCTTTATGAACTACAATGTACATTACTGCTAAGCAAAGTTGAAAAGCAAATCTTTCGATGAACTTTTGCAGTTTCATTGAAGTTTTGATGTTCATAATTCATGACTGATAAATATTTGATATATGTACTACAATGCTCCCCTTTTTGCACGCAAAAGAGCCTAAATGTAATAACGTTTGTTGTGAAAGATAGTGATAACAAAATGTAATCAAGTTCAAATGTCCAATTAAACAATGCAAATCAGGAGCAAAGCAAACACGATACTTTAAGAACATCATAAGTAAATCAGGAGTCAAGCAAATATGATACTCTAAGAACACCAAAAGTGGGATCAGATGCCATAGAAGAGTAATCATACCCACTTTATGCTTTTTGTCGTGTTTGGGAATTAATCCGTAGACAATTTAGAGTGTAAATAAAGCCTTACAATATGTGTGAGAAAAAGCCAGTCAGTATTTGACACAATGGTAGATTTTATTTGCTGACAAGATCACTGTATTGATAAAACTTTACCAACTAAGTGTTCACAGAAAGTTTTGAAAATTAAATACATGGACCATGCCAATGATGTTTCTTTCATGTCTTTTTTAAAGCCATTTTCTTGTTTTTACTAAATTTCAAACACCGTAGAAGTAGTTTCTTTTTACGAGGAACTCATTCAAAACATGTTTTCAACTTATAAATTAAATGATAAAATTATGAGGAAGAAAGTCTGGCATAAATGGTGCTAAATTCAAGTTATGTGAAAATGTCATGGAATGCCTAATTGCTGTAAGATTGTTCTTTGTGCAAGAAGGAAAGGAGGAAAGGAACTGCTAAGTATTGATACCTTTGCCAAAATGTGGATTTAATAAGTTCTTAAAAAGACAAGTTGTTTTTTTTGGCTCTATATTACTTATATAAAAAAATGAAGGCTTAAGTACTAATTGTTCACACATTGACCTTTGTTGTCAGGACTTGAGCAAAATCAAATAAAATTAATTGAAGCTTATAAAATTGAAGTTCTAAATTTTTGACATATCTAAATTATTTTCTTCAAAGTAGGAAAGTTTACACTGGAATACCATTTTAAAGTGTAAATTTATAAACTCCTCTCTTTACTCTATGCAATATTTAAATCATAAACAAAATCCAAATAGTTTTTACTAAATGGATTTTTTTTACATTCTGATTTCAAGGTTTGTTATTAAACTCTCCATTAGAGAAATAATTATCTTGAAAAACAGCCCAAATACCCTAGTATTTCTCTGTGAGAAAAAAATGGTAATTTTCAAAAAATGAAAGTTATCCAAAATGTTAAAAAAGAAACAATATGACAGCAAGCAATACGAAAAGGGGTTAATAAATCAAAAGGGAATGTGTTTTCATTTCATGAAATTTGCAGCAGTTTATTTTCGAACACACTTCTTTAGACACCCTCACACCTAAAAAGTTTGGTTCGAACGCTCGGATGCTTGTTTGTATCATGCTGTTAGTAAAATTGAGCAAACTAATAATAAACAAATATTTATACTACTTTATTCACCAACAATTGATAAATCAAACAAAAAACAAAACATTCTATCACATCAGAATAAACATGTAAATCTTTTAAACGCAAACATCACTCAATTAATGCGCATTGAAACGTTGTCTTTGGTTTGTCAGCAACCTATCAGTAATCACTCGTATCCGTAGTTAGTTTTACAATAATCGCAGTCATAGCTGTTAGTATGTAGCTCCCACATACTTCCGTAACAGCACCATTAATGTATATTGCATGGATCTACTGATATATAGGTATATATACTGTATATATATAGAGATTATGAATACACAATCTATGTTAGTGCTAAATTGGCTCCATTCCAAGACGCTAACCTGTAGTGGTATCTGGGCCTGGAATACAAAAGAAAATGATCTTTAATGACTTAATTTTATAGTAGGGTATGAAAATACTTTGAAAAATGTCACTCATTTTAACTGGTATTTAACGAAAAATATCAAATTAAATGTCTCTGTTATATATACTTTTTTCTGTTTACTTGCAGAAAAACCATAAATCATATCTTTAAAGCTGGCATATCCGGAAAATGGTTTTGCATATCAAAAATCTGTATCTTTGAACATCCAGACAAAATAAAATTTGAATAATATTAAAAATTGTATTAAACTGAAAACAATATAAAGCTTGTCCATTTAAACCATTTTGCTTACCTGAGCTGAATAATGCTGGGTTAACGGAATCAAAGGTAAGTGAGTTACTAAAATCTGTGAAGACAAAGAATTACCAGGTTAAAAATAATAAGATGAATATATTTTTCAAAATTATTAAAATTAATATATTTGATTTTGTTTTTACTTTAGGAATATGCATTCATATAACTGAAAATTCACTACATAATGCGTATCGGAAACATATAATTTCTGTCTAAATATATATATTTACATGAGAATTAATAAGTGTTTCTAATTTTGAGGTGAGTATCTTGTAAATTACAAATACACATGTTCCGTAAACAAACGTTGACATCTTACAAGATTCATGAGTGATTTAAAAATACATGAAAACATGAACCGCTTACAACAAAGACTTGCAAAACAAGCAAAAAGACAAACAACAAATACATAATTGATGCACTTGACATACATTAAACAAGTAATGAATGTACAAATAGGAGAAAAATCACAATACCACAAAACATGCACGTTATGTTAATCATTCTGTTGCCCAAACTAATCAATTCCCTATTTGATACACATATAGTTAATTAGCCATCTTTTTAATGTGATAATGATGATATATATAGAAAAAATAATATAAAATTAGCTAATAATACGACTATATGGAAGTTCTGCTGTTCCCGAAAGCCTGAAAATCACGACAATCAAGAGAATAAATAACAAGTATAAAATAAAACGAAACAAAAAATATGCAGTGCAAGAAAAGCAAAGCAATGAACCTTAGCCACGCAGCGTAACTAAAAGTCAACGAAGAATTCAGCTCAAGCAGGGCATAGCGATACAATTTAAGTTTTCACTCGCCGTGGATGAGTCCTATCTTTACGCAGCCTGTGAAGACGCCGCTGATGATGCAGTGTTGATGACATTTCCGCTTAAGTCGGTTCTAACCGGTGAGATGTCCCCAAACCCATTGTCCTGTAGGGCTTTGCTAAAATGACTCCAGTCGATAAAAGAGTCTCCTTGTATAATTGTAGATCCTAGTAAGATTTACCATCGGGTTAAGTTTACTTCATATCAAGATTATTCGACCACAGACTACACAGGCAGAATAACTGAAGATTTTTAAAACATCTTAACTTTGAAATGTTAAGAATATGAATTTTAAAAGATTAAGTAAACAAAAATAAACCAAAAAAAGAAAATCATGATTGAAAATGGGGGAAAACATGTATCAAAAGTATAGAGTGCTGGAAAAAACAAACATATTTTGTGAAAAACATTTTCTCTCAGCAAAGAAATTAAGACGGTGTGTACCTTGCTGGGGCCCCTGTCCCTCCAAGAAGAAACCTGATGAGTCAGCTGTTTATACAAAAAGAACTTTAGAAATAGAAGACTTAAATATAGAACAAGAATGGATAAAATGTCTCAATAAGTACAAGGATTGAAGAAAGCTCAATTGTTTTTCGAGAAAAAGATAACTATGTTAACCTGCTCCACTGGTTATCAACGTTTGTATTGAATTCATGGCGCCACGTCGAAGGTCTTGTGGAGATTGGCTGGGAAAGGCTGTATTAGCAATTTGTTGTGCATTGGCTGCATTAAAGGTTTGGATGGCAGAATTCAAGTTTTGAGTAGCAGGTGAAATAGAGTTTAGTTGTTGATTATTAGCACTGAAAGCTGTATTGATAACATTGGTCCCAGTATTATCCTGTATAGTTCCTCTAGACAAAACCATTCTAGTATTAGTTCGTCCAGTCGAATCTATGGAGCTGATACCAGAAGTACTGATTCCACTGTTTCTGCCCGTGACTGAGGTTGAGTGTGATACACTTGAAGTTACACTGTTATTATTATTTCCTGACACCGTTGGTAAACTTTGTACAGTATTACCCGCCCATAGAAAGGAATTGGTTTGAGAATTCAATGGTCTAGAGGACCTTTGATTATTTCTTTGAAATGCTGGATCTGAAATTTCATAGTAATTTTTAAAAAAAATGAACGATTTTAAAGCTTTGGTAAAGTTAAACAAAATATTAATTTAAGTAAAATGGATGTGAACAACACTTTAATTTTCCATTGTTTTAGATCCTGTATGTAACTATGAACCTGGAAGAGATGTCGGTAGAGTAAAACCATTGCTGAAAATATTGGCTCCAGTGTTTGTGTTTGAGCTTCTGGAAGCTGCTTGAGAATTCTGAGTATTACTTAAGCCTTGGACAGATTCCTCAGCTGCTATCAATGCATCGAGAGAGCTCAGAAAGTCATCAACTTGTACATCAATGGAAGCATTTCCAGATCGAATAAGAGGTTCGGGATTTCTTTGAGTTGGAGGTTGTGGATTTCTTTGAAATGTCTGAGACATGGTACCTCTCACAGGTTGCAAATTTAGTGTTCTTAAATTTTGGGAACTTGTTTGTCCAAATGCTGTGGTTCCAGACGAACGAGACCTTGGAAACTGAGTGGATCTTGATCCAACTATTCAGAAACCGCAAACATTTATAATCTTTGGATGTACAATAAATTTGTATAAAAATATGTCAAACTAACGGAGAAAATTGTTTCATGCCCAATTCAAACAACAAGGAAAAGTATGCTGTTGAATTTAAATATAAGGGGTGTTAAGAAAGTTCGTTCCATGATGAAATATTTTACAAAAAATTTCAAAGTAGTGCTTAACAAATGAGATGAATTTTTAAGTCTGACAAAATTGCAAGAGTGTGCTTTAGATTTATAGCAATTCATTTCTAGCAGAAAGCTATAGGACTTTTCATCCATATGAAAATATATATGACATCTCTAATGCACCCGAAAGATAGAAATGCTGGTCATTTTGAGTGAAAATAAAGGACAATTTACTTCAGTTTTTTTCATAGCTTATCTTCTAGCAGACAAGCTGATGAGTGTAGGTAGAAGAACGATAGATCACTTTTAAAAAGAATAAGTTTGTCATTTTAAAATTTTTCACCGACTTGATAATTTTTGCATTGCATTTGAAAGGATGTTTTGACCTGTATGCTTAACATATGTCACAAATATGCGTCAATCCTAATTTCTCTGTACAGACATCATCTGTTTTAATACATGCTTTCCCCTTATTGATTCAACAAAAGTCAGTTTAAACCTTATTAGTAGCAAGAATGGACTCTGTAAACATAAAATAACACAAATTGTAAATAACTTCACATCGTATTTCTTTCTGAAAATAAAAAAAAATGTGGAATGAACTTTCTTAACACCCCTTATATGTCACATCATTTGTGAAAAATATAAACATAATTATTTGGCCCTTGCTCTTTTACCAGAATTGACAAAGATTCATGTCGGGATAGTTTTCAAGACTAGCCTATTAATTGAAAGGAAAATGAAAGTAGAAAAAAGATCTTGTTGGACAATAGCTAAGATTTAACCTGATGTACCAGAGGTCGTGCTTGGATTAACATCCACAGGGGGCTGACGAGGGAAGGTTATCCCGGGCACTGGTGGTGACTCTGGTCCCGGTAGTGACCCTAATCCTGGGGGTGGGCGTGCTGGTGGGACCCTAGGTCTTCCGGCATCAAAACCTGGAGGTGGGAAGTTGAATTGCTGCCTTGCCATGAAATTCTCTAGATTAGGGGTGCAAATAGGTTATGGTTAAGATAAATACGTTATGTTACACAGCCCATGTTTATGAAACAGATATTATTGCATTACAAAATTTCTACATGATGAATATTATAACATAGAAAACTACATATATAATGAGAATGGGTAATAAGTTCCTGATATATGTAACCTGAAATTAGGATTCTGATTAGTTTGATGAATATTACATGGATCAATTAGTTTTCTAAAATTATATTTGTCTATGCCACAAAGAAAATGATTAGTCACTACTATCCACTACATATAAGGGTGGTACCTGAAAAAGGTTCCAGAGAGCTTAGAGCAATAGGCTGTGGTGCCACATTGTTACTTATCATATCGGTTTGCATTCCACTGAATGGGAACGGTGAGACTGTAAATATATCCCGTTGATAAGATCAAAGATGTAAAGAGCAAAAAGAATAAAGTAATTTTTTCTATTATCTAGCTATTGTTATTCATTACGAAGGTCACTGAAAAGAAATGTTATTTTACCTCTATCGTTAGGGACTCCTCTGTTAAAGTTTGTATTTCGGATTGTTCCTGCCATTCCACCGGGTGGGAAGATTGGTAGCTCTGGAATAACAATTCATTGTAATATTGTTTCATAACTTCCAACCCATGGAAAGGCATGAAAGATAAATGTTAAGTAAATATGACAACGAATATTTACTTACGTGATCTTCTGAGGTTTGTTTGTGGTCCACCTGCGAAGGTAGATGTCGGTAGTCTTCGGAATCCGTTTCCACCTGCTGGGTCTGTAAATCCGCCTCCAATACCACCATCACCGTTGGTTCTCTGATTGACAAGGTTATTAGCAACACCAATAGGACGAACCAAAACTCTTCTCCCAGAAACAGGATCCAAGAACAAGTCATCCACATTACCACCTAAACCTCCCAAAATACCACTGCGAGGCATACCCCCAGTGATTCGTGTCGTTGTACGAACGGCTGGTCTACCTCCAATTCTTCCAGTTGCTCGTGTTGCTGCTAGGTCAATCGTTTGACCGCCATTTCCTGGTGGTGGAATTCTTCCGATTCTTGTTGTAGAAAGAGAATCGCCAAACCGGTTATTGACCGTAAACCGACGACCTGCTACTCCACCGCCGTTCATACCGGTAGCTGTTAGAGTGTCCACACCAAAGGTACGACCTTGAGCACCGTTTATGGTGAATCGTCTGGTATTGATAGCAGCATTATTAGCACCTCCAACACCAGCAGTGAATCCATTGTTAACACGACTTCCTCTAACTCCATTTGCAATCAGTGCATTTATAACCTCAATTTGTAATGGTCTTGGTAATTCGCCTAAACGACGGTTTTGAAATCGTGGAATTCTCATATTTGGATCAAATCCTCGCAACGTCGGCTCGTTGCCACCATTGTTAACATTCAAGAAATCAGCACCATCAAATCCACCAGCAAAGGCTCTCTGTGCATCTGTAAAATAGATCACACAAATATTTTCAAAGTACAACAGTTCAATAATCTTAAAGAAAATATGACCACATTAGATAATTCAAAAATGTTATAATTCATGGATTACCTGAAAACGACACTCCAGAAATTGCAAGAAATAGTATACAGCTGAACCGTATGATCATGTTGACTTGTTTTTTACTTCACCTAAAATAAAATACAGTGGTCCTTTTTATAACTAACGATAACTCTTCCTAAAAGAATTATTCGGTTATATCTTTGAGTCATGAAAATTATGATTAAAAAATTGGAACGCTTCCTTAATCCAGACGATTTGTTTGGAACACGTGTCTGGAGGATAGAGGATCGACTGATTTTATACAAATGTTATATGGGTTTTTTTTTTGGTTTTTTTTTTTTTTGTATTACAGGTTACATATTTTATTGATATCGATATCACAAGGACATCAACCTAGATTCTTGTTTAGAAATTAACAAAGGTATGTAACTTTCTTAGAATGAAAGACAAAGAAAAGCTTGAGAAACGACTAAATAAGAATGTAATTATTCTAATAATGATAAATCTCTCACCAAACACGAACAAGTTCAATATAGACAAATTTAGATAGATATGTGTACTTTTCTCACACTTTCACTTCAAGAATCGAAAAGGACGCCCACGAAACTAAAAGTATAAGCGAGAGCTCCTGTCTCCATTGGACGGGGATTTTCTTTTCTAGCGTGCAATAAATCGCATTGCATTGCTGGACAAGAGATACTCAGGTCATAAAACGTAAAGCCGTGTCATTCTTTGGCACTAGAAACAATCGTAAACATGCACAGTGATTTATCAACATCGCACGAATACGAGAAAAAAAAATACAGGTTTTACTGTCACTTAGTTTGTTACGAAACATTAACTTTATTAATTTACCTTATGAAATATGATATTTTATGTTGTTTTCTAGGAAAAGACACATTTTGTTTGAAAGGTTGTGTTGTTAATTTCAAATTTGTAAGTCGTTTCTCAATATGCAGAGTTTCATTAAAAACGAAGCAAGAACTTATCAGCTCACAAAAAATGTGATATTGTAGACAATAATAAAATCATTGTTTTACGGTTTGTAACAATCGCTAAAACATAAGAGATACATGGGTTGTTTCGCTTCAAGTCATATGTCACGGTGCAAATTCGGATTGTTACGTCAAAAACAGATACAATTAGCAGAAATAGCGCCCAAGGTTACACAACGATCTAATAAAATTTGTATTACAACTTATTCAACACGTTAAGGCATCCTGTAATTACAGAAACCGTATCTTTTTCACCGGAAAAAAGAAAAGAAAGCAATAAAATATTTTGTCTAAATTTTTATTGAGAAAAGCATTTCCTTAATTTTGAGATAAAAAGTCGTTAAACAATGAAGTATAGAATTTTTTTAAAATAATTGTCATTAAATTAATATTGTAATGATAAATATATCTAAAATATTTTATCTGTATTAATTTTTACTTAAAATTATTATTTTCAGTAACTATGACCAAATTCTACAAATGTTTCGATATTACCTTGCAATAGAAAAAGATGTAACGAAGGCATCATGCCTACTTTAAAACCATAGATTTGAGTTTAGTTTAAATGATGAAAATTCTTGCATTTGCTACGGAGTTCGAACTCCGTCATAACGCAAAGGAAAGGTCGAAGGATTCGAAGAAAAAGAATAAAGAATAGTGAAAATAATGTAAAAAAAAAAAAATAGAGTGAAAAATTGGAAATATTCAATTTCAAATTGATCGTTTCTTTTTTATTTTAGCTTTTGAAAAGCAATATCTTTATTTATGTAAATATTGAAGTTATCAAAAATATTGATTATAAGAAAAGAGCAAAAAAATACTTTACTTACAATTTTAAGAAAACCAATCCGTGTGAACGTGTATTTAACCCCTAGAGGTGGGGTTTGCAATGACCGTCTACTCGTGGACAAGGGCGCGATACAGCCACACTAGACCGCTGCTCGTCTTTGATGAGTATTTGACGGCGTAGATGACAGATCGTTACACTAAGCCAACACCGTCCAAGCCTTACTCCCTGTCCCTAACAAACAGAGGATACACACTTAATAGCACATCAATTGTTTCCAACATCTACAACTCACTCTAAAACAACTCAAATCAAAGAGCGTAATAAGTGATTGTTATTGGGATATCATTTCCTTTTACCAATCATCTAATTTACGATCACGATTACTGTTAATTAAACAAAGAAATACATTAATTTGTTTAGTAAAAAACAAAAGCTTACAAAACAAACAGTGTTATTTCCTGGAGGACTACAAGATTTTATTGATCCGGATGATCGTGTTTGTTAAATGATTACTTATTTGTCTAATCATGATTTATGCAGATGGCATTTTTGTGTGATATTTAATGTTTGATTATCGATCTAGTAAATGGCAACACCTTTACTAATTTAATTGATTACAACTTATATTATTAAATCAACACAATTATTTTTGCATAAATTAATTTAAATTAAAACTCATTCACTCTGAACGATTTTACTCATCAGTAAATTCATGCGAATACTAAAATATTTTGCACTGAGGACATTACAAATATAAATTTTGAAACAGCAGCTACAAAATTAATAGACTCCTTTCTCAATAAAGTTGATTCCAAATGCCACGGAATACATGCTACGTAAGCTGCATCAAAATTTTGAACATTAATTGAAATTTAGACAGGGATATCTAATTAATAAGATCAAGTTACGAAAGCAGACCTACCTGTTAATGATGTTTGGTTTACCTTTTACATTAACCCGGATTTTAAAGAAGAAAATTTATTGCCATTTCATTGCAGTGACGGACGATGATTAACATTAAACAAATGATAATTACATAACATTCACCTTAATTGCTTTTAAAATGATTAAGATCTAGTTGCATTTTGCTTTTATGATGCCAATTTCTGTATTAAAATGTCAAAATTGTTTAATATCTTTTTTTAGAAGTAGAAGTTTTTGCCTTTTTCGTTAGAAACTTGGCATAGTAGTAAAAATAAATTATAATTCTTTAGAGAATATAAAAAAAAAACAAAAAAAAAAACGATATCATTATGTATAGAAGGCATAAAACAGGAACCCTGGGAAACTCCAGAAGGAATCAATTGCTTTGGAGGAGTAAGCATCCGCTGTTGACCATCGTTAGGTCTTTGTATTCATCAGGTAGAAGAAACATTCTATAGTCAAATTTAATATACAAACAAATGCCTCACAATTGGTATTAAGCAAAATTCGACCCCAAAATAGGTTATTTTTGCCAGCAGGGTCATTATAACGGTCATAGAATTTTCGAAATGCTGACTTTGACATCCCTGTAACATCAACGTATTAGTGAGCAGCATAACTTGCTTTAAAAATTGATCGGAATCCGACCAAAGTATTGAGTAGGCAAATTGAAAAGATAATTTAAGTTTTATCAGAAAGATAATGAATTATAAACTTTTAGATTAAAAGTGTCCATTAAAGAAATATTACCTTCTTCTTTGAGGCTGTTAGAACACGAAGTAATGATTGAAAACACATAAAACTGAAGACATGCTGTTTGCCTAGTTTTTCTACTTAGGTACAGTATGACCCCCAATTGAAAACTTTTGTTTCTTAAAAACAAAGACACTAGAAAAGACAGATCTAATTTAATCGGTCAGACAGAATATGAAGATGTATTAGAATTGCACTGGGTGTTCTCCAGTGTAGAAAAGCATGTCCATAAACCATAAAGATTCCAATTTATTATCTTTGTCAAATACAATACATGCTCTTTGTTGAAAATTATTTTTGGAGCTTGGTACCAAATCATCAATGATGTTCACAATATATCGTCCTCTATCATTCTTATTATTTTCTCAACTCTACAAATCTAGAAGGCAATTGCCAAATTGTTGAAATTTGTTCTTTATACATGAAAGAACGTCCCCGACACTTTATTTGTTTATAATGAGAATTGACGATGCAGATGTCAAAAATTTAACATTGTGACAGATCTGTCATTGAAAAAAAAAACTGTCAGATAAGTCATACTGGAGATTACTTTTTAATTTTAAGATTTATTTATTTTATGAAATAAATATATTTAAAATTATATTTATATTTATCCTTTCTTTACATAAAAATTCACGATAAAGACGAGCAATGATGCTTGTACATAATAATAAAATTTACTTTTAATTAAAAACTCACAATCAAATATCATTAATCAGTATTTACATACAAATCAGAAGATGACCGCCTTATTTTATATAAATTATAATTTTTAATAAATGTGTTAGCTTTAACATGAATATTATCAAAATATTCTTAGTTTATCTCTCACTACATTTTGAAAAAAATTTTGATAAGAAGATTAACATTTTATACTGGATGTATATTTTGTAATTTAAAGATATGATCTGTGGGCTAAAGATCTAATCCTCAACTTCATTTTTGACTATAACAGACCAAAACTGCATTTAGCGTCATTGTTTCTCGGGTACAAAGATCAAACCCTAATATTCCAAAATTCTCGAAAAATCCATCATAAAATATTACTAATTCGAGCGTATTACACATGTAAATGATATAATATTTGTGGTTATTAACCACAACCAAGGTGATTATAATATGGGGAAAACCCATGAAGGTTCTCCATTCACAGATGGTTGTCATTCTGCCCTGTTAGTATTGATGAGCTCACTGACATTTTTCTTAGAATTACATTCTTTTGATGAGTATTACCTTCTACTATTTATATAACTTTCCCACTCATTCTTAAAAGCATATTAACTCGTTCTTTTAAAATAAAATGTCATTTCACCTCTCATTTTATTTAACATTAAACATGTAGTCCTTGGAGTTTCTTCCAATAAACCATTGGAATTCTGAATGGCACTTATTGTGCTTCCTTTTTACCCAACTTTTTTTTGTATTTCTATAGATAAGAATTTATTCAAACACTTTTAAATGATGAGACGAAGAAAATACGTGTTGTGGCCTTCAACTCGACATTCATATGAAACATGTGGAGATAACGAACAATATCTGAGCTCAAAAGTCTAATAAACATTACAAAAGAGGAGCGGAGCAAACACAGACCTCCAAAACATCAGAGGTGGGATAAGATGCCAAGGAGGAGTGACCATCCCCTACCGATTGATTACACCCGCCGTGTGTCATGTTCGTGGAAAAAAAAGGAAATTCCATTGGAAACTCAGTGCGTAAAAAATGGCATAACAATTAGTATGGAAAAGTCAGTCAGATTTTGACTTAATGATAAATTGTAAAATGTATTTGCTGATAATGTCATTGAATCGACCATAAGATGACTGAAATGATGACTTTAAACGAGGCTGCTGATATTCTTGCTTCAACGTGCTTGTCAATAACTTACCTCGATTTAGAAATTGTTCATACGTAGACCATGCTCTTCCGAATCGAATCAACTAAGGGATAATAAATCCGTATACGGGTGACAAAGGTATATTGCTGCATAAGTAAGGGAAGTTGACGATGAAAAACTCACCACGTTTATCATAAAGCTTTGTTGTTAGATAACCATTAACGTTCTTTTCTAGTAAAAGATTCAAATATGAAACAGATGTGTCAGACTCTGTGCTATCTTTATTTCAAGCTCACGGGGATATAAAGTGTCGACATAAGAATGGAAATAACTATTGTTAATTTGATAAAACGTCGTTCATATATCTCAATGTCGCGTTGAAAGTCACAGCAAGTAGTGTCATCTTTTCACATAAATGATTTTGAACAAAGTCTGCTTCATATGAAATAAAAAAAATAGGTCTGCAAATAAAAGGACGCAATTGGTACCCATTGAAATTCCAATAGATTGTTGGAGGACCTTGTCTCCAAAATTAAAACCTCATAGATATTGTCAATCACAAATTCGGGCATCTTTTCAAAATCAACTTCAGAGTACTTATGTGTCCAAATAGGATGTTTTCAACAAAGAAATTTTGCAAATGACCTTGGACAAGATATCAATTAATAACATCTTCTCAATATAACACTAGTTCCTTATATTTATATGTAGATTACAAATATCCATGTGAAAACTAAATGAAAAGCACAAAAATAACTCATTTCCTAAATACTATAATGGATGTTATAATCAGCAAATTTAAAACATTCTTGAATGGTAGTTTGCCTAACATATTTCATACCAATTTTTACTCTTTTATTTATATATCAAATTTGACTACGAAATATTCCGTATAAGTGATCAATTCATAGGACGGCAGGTTTGACCAGTAGACAGGGTATGTTTATTCCTTCTAGATACTTAATCCCATTTCTGAAATTTTCGGTTGTCTGTGTTTTATGTGTTGTTTATAGATTTGTAGGAAAAACGTGAAATAACAACGCGTTTGATCTCATAAAAAATGTAAAGCATCTCCATATGAGTGAAACATTCTTATGAGTGAAAATGATATTAAAAAACCTAAAAGTCTTTTTCCTTTAAGTCAAGAATCTTATAAAAAAAAAATCCTGCTTAGAATTGATATTATGAAAACGCATTGTATGTATAAAAATCTCTCCACAAAAGCATTCTGATAATGAACAAGGAGCTTTATGACAAAGATTGATTGATGGTATATTGTTCAACGTCCCTCTCGAGAATTTTTCACTCATATGGAGACGCCACCATTTGCCGGTGGAGAGCTGCAAATTTTGTCCTATACTCGGCACTCAGGGCCATTGAGCAGGGAGGGATCTTTTTCGTGCCAGCACCTACTGCGACACGGAACCTCGGCTTAAACGGTCTCATCCAAAGGACCGATCTTCACGTCCCACAGTTGGATTCTTACCCGCGACGTAAGGATCAATTTCTTACTTCGCGACTCTAGAACAGACGCTCAAAACTACACAGGACTGAGCAAAATTTGGTGTCATGTTAAACAATGATTCTCAAAGCTAAAGCACACTTGCTCTTGTCTTTCGCTATGTTATCGTGATACAGTGTATAATACAGAAAATTTGAGAAAATATTAACTTCAAATATATGTATTAGTACCTTTTAATGATTATTTACTTAACAATTTCCATTTTCAAATATACTCATATATCAATTAAGAATATCTTCTTTAACCTACAGACAGATCCTTTTTTATTTATATTGACGTAAATTGTTAGTGTATATGTTTTTATTTACTTTGTCTACAACAGAAAGGTCTTTTATTTCTACCTGATATTTATGGCCCCACAAGTGTCACCAAAACAGACCACTAAACTCAGAACACTTAATAAGGAACGGATCTTTAGTAGGCGGACGTTTATTCAGTCACCTCAAAAGATAATGTTAAGGTGTGACTATTGGCACCAGTCAACACTCTACCGGAAATTAATGCTCCACAGAAAGAAGCAATATCGTGACAACATTGACTCTTTGATGTTAGAGTTGTGTGAAAACGAGCGTGTGTAGTAGATTGATAAAGCGTTGAACGCAAATTCTTTCAGTTGTTTTGGACATGTACTTGGTGAAAAATTGGTTATGATCATGTAGCCGTTTTAATAACTATGAAAACACGAAAGTTAAGCCAAATCAATATGTCAAAACGCTCAATTTTTCAACACATTATACAACCACTCCAAACGATAATTTAAAGTCCAGCATTTTGGCATCCTTCAACACATAAATATTAACTTTATCTTTCAAGTGTTATTTGCGAAATTATTTTGAAGAAATCATAAAAGTTTTCTGTAGTTGATATTCAAATGATGCTTGAAATTTTGATTAACAGTATCTATGTTGTTTTTAGATACAAGGTCTTCCAAAGACCAATTATATGCTGGAATGTCTATGGGCACCAATTGCGTCAGGTTATAAGTAGAGAAATTTTTGTATTAATTTGGATAAGAATTTATTCAAAACCTTATAAATGGGAAGAAGAAAATAACTGCTCTTGCTTCAACATAGTCGAAATTAGATATTTCGAAGACATACTTAGTATTTTCAAGATACAGTAGTTACTTCCATTTGCATGTCAACTCGATTACTCCCAGTAAGCTTGAAATAAAGGATACCACAGAGTCTGATATACTTAGTTTTTTGTCTTAAAGAGGTTAAAAGAAGGACAATGGTAACCAAACAACAAAACTTTATGATAAATGCATTGACTTTAACCTTTCTATCATCGATTTCCTTTACTAATGCAGCAAAATACCCTTATCAACTGCACATGAGCTTTGTGTCTCCCAGTTAATTAGATACGCAGGGACATACTCTACGTACGAACAATTTCTTAAACGAGGCAAACTATTAAAATATAAGTTTATGAAACAAGAATATCCACAGACTTACTTAAAGTCAGTTTTTATAAAGTCTATAGTCAATACAAAAACTTTTGGCATCAATACAATCTTTCATTAAGTCGAATGCTGACTGACATTTTTCATACTAATTGTCAAGCCAATAATAACACACTGAATTGACTAGGGATTTTTCCGTTTTATCAAGATAATGACAAGAAGTATATTGCGGATGTAGTCCTTGGTCGACAGGGGATGCTTACTTCTCCATAGCATGTAATCCCGCGTTTGATGTATTTAAAGGCCCGTTTATTCTC